AGAACTATATACTGGAGACTACAGGGGACGTTTTGGTCTCCCCTGGAGTTTCTTTTGTGGCCAAACAGTTCCCAGGAACCCAGCATCTAGGAGGCTGGGGGGTGGTGTCCTTTGTGTTCAGTTTTGGCCCTAGGCTCCGGGAGGCCAGAGAATCTGGAGTTTCCTTGTGTCAGAGGCCTATGTGTCTTTTCTGTAGTGTCTTTTCTGTCATGGCTGCTAAAGCAGGGGGCTGAGTGAGGGTCTGATCCCTTTATTTCTAAATTATTTTTTTTTAATTTTTTGGTTTTTTTTCGAGACAGGGTTTCTCTGTGGCTTTGGAGGCTGTCCTGGAACTTGCTTGGTAGTCCAGGCTGGTCTCGAACTTACAGAGATCTGTCTGCCTCTGCCTCCTGAGTGCTGGGATTAAAGGCATGCGCCACCAACGCCCGGCTTTATTTCTAAATTATTAAAAGTGAAGCCCTTTCAAAATAAATAAATCTTTAAAAAAAATGTGTGTGACACCACAGCCTGGAAGTAAGTTTGTAATTTTAATGCAGTCAATTTGCGGATTTGTTGACCTGTTGAAAAATGTCACATCTTTCTGTCTGAAATACCTGAGGTTGGAAACACCTTAGATACCCATCACTGTGTGGCAGACAAATTATAATTATGATATTTCTGTGCAATGGGACACTGTTCAATCATAAAAGTGAAGTGATGATATATACCACAGCATGGATTAACCTTGAAAACATGGTATAAAGTGAGAGAAACAGATTCACAAAGTTATCCATTGTGATTTCATGTACAACAGCTGTCCAGAACAGGCAGACTCATAGAGAGTGGATTACAGTTACCCTGGGGAGAGAGGGGAGAGGGAATGGGTGCTTATAGGAAGATTCCTTTTGGGGTGATGACAGTGTTCTAGGACTAGAAAGGGGTGAGAGTTGTACACTATCATGATTGTACAAAATGCTACTGAGTGTTTACCTTTAAAAATGCTATTATTATTTTTGTATTTAAAGAATAAATTTTGTCTTATATACTATTTTGGGGGAGCTTGCTGCACACCAGGGCAATGTCTGGAGATCAGAGTATAACTTGTGGGAATTGGCTCTTTCCACCATGTTGGTCCCTGGGTTTGAGCTCAGGTTGTCAGACTTGGTGGCGATTCCTTAACCCACTAAGCCATCTCACTGGCCCTGTTTCTGTGTGTGTGTGTGTGTGTGTGTGTGTGTGTGTGTGTCCTGACTTTTGAGTTGAGGTCTTGCTATATAAACCTAACTCCCCAGGAACTTGCTATGCAACCCACAATAGTGTTGAACTTGCAGCAATCCTCCTGTCTTTGGCTCCTGAGTGTTACAGGCATATACTACCACACCTGTCAACTTTTTGTATTTTTTTCGAGACAGACCCTTACTGTGTAGCCCAGCCCAGCTCAGAACAAGCTATGAAGCAAGGGGCTGAAAATTACTACTTCCTGCTTGGACCGCTGGGATGCTGGGGTTGCTGATGTTTGCCACCATGCCTTGATGCCTATGTTTTTTTTTAATTCACTTTTATTTTTATTTTTGGGCAGGCAGGGTTTTGTGTGTTTAGAACTGGCCTCAAACTCACCATAGAGCCATAGAACTCATCAAACTCAAACTCTTGAACTTCTGATTCTCTCGACTCAGATCAAGTCAGAATATAAGATATATAAAGTTAAATAACTAGTTTCTGGGTGTGGTGGCACACACCTTTAGTCCCAGCATTTGGGATGCACACATCTGTGAGTTCAAATGGCTAGCATGATCTACATTGTGAGTTCCGGGACAGCCAGAACTGTGTAGACAGACTCTGTTTCAAAACAAAACAATCAAACAAGGATAAGGCACGTCCAAATGTCAGCATTAAGAGAGATTCTAAGCACACGTTTAAAGGCTTTGCAAAGCCATGGTGTCTGTTTGGCAACAGGTTTATACTGGATTGCTTTTGTATGACATAAGATCAGTGACATTTATCAACTGCTTTACAAGTTCCTCACTGTTGTGCCCAAGTTGCAAAGTCCCCAGAGACCACCAGGAAGACCCACCAAACTGTAAAAGCAAGGTTTAATGATTGTTCATCGAACCATAACATGGACCCCATCTAGCAAGCTGATGCAGCAGCCTCCAGAGGCAGTGAAGTTCCCGTCTAATGCTAAGTTTTAAAGCCAAAAGTTACAGGATTACATCAGTAGGTACTGGTTAGTTTCTGATTGGTTGACATTTGGGAACAATCAGGAGAATTTCTCAAAGTCATGTTTTGGCATGAAATATCTGTGTATCAATTATTTTCACTGGTCAGTGCTGTGAGGGAACATTCTGTGGTTTCTATGGCATTGTCTTGTTATTTGCAGGTGGCCTGTTGTATACAGATACCAATAGTTTTCACAACTATATACTGAAGACTAAAGGGAAGGTTTTGGTCCCCCCTGGAGTTTCTTTTGTGGCCAAACAGTTCCCAGGAACCCAGCATCTAGGAGGCTGGGGAGGGGGTGTCCGGAGTTTCTTTGTGTTCAGTTTTGGCCCTAGACTCCAGGAGGCCAGGGGAATCTGGAGTTTCCTTGTGTCAGAGGCCTACAGAGGTCTTTTCTGTAGCCTGTCCTGGCTGCTAAAGCAGGGGCTGAGTGAGGGTCTGGTCCCTTTATTTTGTTTATTTTGTTTACCTCTTTCATTCACACGGTACAAAACTCACTTTGTGTTGAGTCCTCAACCCTCAAAGCCACTCTGCAAGGGCAGTTTTATCATCACTGTTTTTTTTTTTTAAGATAAGGAAGAGAAGCTCAGGGAGATTGTAAATGTGCCCTGGTTCCAATGGAGGAGGGAACCAGCTGCATGGTTTAATGTGGGCTGGAATGCTGACTCGGTAGAGGCCAGTCTTGACTTCTCCACCTGGGGACACAAAGAGTCCAGACCCGAGCAGAGTCTAGAATGTTGACGCTGCTCCTCTGCAGTCAGGATTGCGAGCTCCAGGCACATGGGCTGAGATGTCTGTGTGGTCAGTCAAGTAGAAGACCAGTCTGGGGATCTGTAGAGCCCCCTCCCCCAAGAAAGGTGACTGTGGCAGGGCAAATTCTCCTTCTGAGTTTAGTGTCACCATTTAAACCTCTAGGATGACTTAGCTTCCACTTCACTTCGGTGTTATGAATGAAGGGTCACCTCTAGCCATAGGCATTCAGGACATGGCATTTAAAACTCTCCTTTTGCTATTCAGGGCAAGTGGCTCTTTTTTGGAGATACAGGAACATCCAGTGGAGAAGGTGGCTCCCAGATAGTGTCTGTGAGCCCCACCCAGTCCTCTGACTGACCAAGTGACAGGATTGATAAGGCCTGACTTTGTATGGTCTCCTCTTCCTACACAAAGGAGACCCTGGGGGATGGGGAGTAAGGGTCCAAAGTTCCAGTGTCCAAAAGTTTATTTCTTCTATAAAGGAGGTTATGAAACCATGTTATTTAAATTTTAAATGAGGACTCTTGGGGGCTGGAGGGATGGCTCACTAGTTGGGAGCACTGGCTGCTCTTCCAGAGGACCCAAGTTCAATTCCCAGCACCCCACAAAGCAGCTCACAACTATCTGTAATTCAAGTACCATTGGTTCTGACAATGTCACACAGACATGCAGGCCAGACGCCAATGCACATAAAAAGAATGAGGGCTCACTTCTATGGAACTTTAACACAGCAGAGTCTGAAGATATGCCCTGCAGAGCTAGTCTGGCCTTGGTGCTTCACAGAGCAGTTTCAAATCCTACTTCTGGTGAGAAAACCGGGGTCCACAGTGGCGTTCACTGATCCATAGGCCACAGTGTGACCCTAAGTTCTGATTTTTGTAATAGCTGATGGTGTTTCTTAGCAGTGATGCTGAGATGGGGCTGAGATAGAGGTCTTGGGCTCTGTATCCGTGCTGTCAGTACAGGGTGAGGCAATCTGGGAGGGAAGTACACCAGGCCGCTGTAGAATGGGATCTGGTACTTGCCGTGCACGGAACATCATTTCCACGGCTATTTTAGAGTTAGCGGTGGTAGAAAAGATTGCGCCCAGGGCTTTGAGCATTACGGCTCTCCGTGCTCACAACTAAACATCGTCTGCAGCCTTCTCTTTCCTTCTCACTGAGTTGCCCAGGCTGGCTTTAACATTCCCCCCATCTTGGTCTCCTTAGTAGCTGGAAATACAGGTCTCCACCGCCAAGCCTGTCTGCCACTATTACATAGGAAAGAAAACTGTGATTGCTCCTGTGAAGGTTGCTGGTGAAAAGTGGGTCCTAAGATTTAGGCCCTTGCTATCCCAGAAATGACCATTGGAGTTCCAAGGTCCTGGCTAATGGAGGAAAGCCTGGACCACAGTCCTTCCTGGCTCAAGGGCCTGGGCACCGTCTCTGTGGGAAGGTCCCACGACTTCTCTTAGCCATCCCCAGGCCCCCAGTCCATATCTCCATCTGCTTCCCTCCCAGCCTCACTTTCCCTCACTATTCCTCACTCCTTTCTAGGGACCCCTGCTGGGAAACATGGGAGACTTGCAAAATGAGTAGGAGGATACCATCCCTTTCACACAGCACACTCAAACTATCAAAGGGCAGCGTAAGCGCAATGCTCAGACACTGGCAAATACTCAAAAGATACCTTCTCTTTGAGTAATAGTTAAAAAAATGCAATAAGACTATTTTTGTCTTTATAAATTTTGGGACACAAATAAATGAATGCTTCTTTATTGTTATGTGATGCCCAGACTGGTATGAACCCGACCTCTTTTTATTTTCCGAGACAAAGTTTCTCTGCATACTCTGCATAGGCCAGTTCCTTCTCATATTTTTAGGTTTGTACTCTCTGGTCAAATCAAGTGTATGACTTTAAACTACAGACACACACCTGTGAAGAGCCCCCTACAGCTCAGAACAGGTGTCGGCGCCGGCGCCTCCGGCCGTCCGCGCCTGCGCAGAGGTCCTGAATGGTGGCGCTCCCCGGCTCTTCACCCCCGGCACTGGTGAAGTCTCGCGAGAGTGAGGGCGCACACGCGCGCGTGTGTGTCCGGGCCGTGGCGCCGGCTTCCTCCGTGTCCCCGCGGGCCCGGCCCCTGGTTCTGGCTCCTACTCTTAAGTCTCCGCGGTCCCCACACGAGTTCCCCTCAGGCCCCCGCCCCGGCCCCCTCAGGATGGGGGACAACACCAGCCCCATCAGCGTGATCTTGGTGAGCTCGGGCAGCAGGGGCAATAAGCTGCTCTTCAGGTACCCCTTCCAGAGGAGCCAGGAGCACCCCGCGTCCCAGACAAGTAAGTGGCGCCTGGCGGCCACCCGCCCTGCCGCGCAGGCCACAGTGCCGAAGAGGAGGAGGAGGAGGAGGAGGAGGAGGAGGAGGAGGAGGAGGAGGAGGAGGAGGAGGAGGAGGAGGAGGAGGAGGAGGAGGGCCACGGCACGGCTCCTATGAAGCAGTTTAAAAATACGTCAGGATTGCAAGCGCTTGCAGTGGTGCACATGTGTAATCCCAGCTCTCAAGAGGCCGAGGCGGGAGTATTGCCATGAGTTCAGGGCCAGCCTTTTCTCCAGACATAAAGAAAAAGACATCAGGTTTTACGCATAGACACAAATTTATTAATTCTTTTAGAAAGTATGAAGTTGCACTTGAACTCTTACTCCTTGGCCCACTGTCATTTTGATAATCACCCCTCCAGTACATAACTCCAAAAGTGTGTCCACCGAAAAATAAAGTACTGTGTTGCCCCCCACACCCCCATGAACCTCAGGACGTTTTAATGTGAAGTCTCTTCACCACAGACCACACCCTCTCCTAATTGTAGCGCTCGGCTGTGTGAGAACATAGCCTTCCTCTGTGGGTGAATATTATTCTTAAAGCTTGGCACTAATGGTACAAAGGCTTCTAAGCTACAAAAACAAAGTTGGTGTCATGCTCTCAGGACCGCCTTCCATATCCCCTATAGAGGCTACCAGAACCTTTCGTGTAAACACAAGCATAAGCACACATCCCTGTTAAGTGGAAGTGGAAATACAGTTTGCCCATTGTTGTTTGAACTTGTGCCTGTATCTCGGATACAGGATCAACCTTTGTAGAGGCTTGTTCATTTAATGGCTGCAGCAAGTTCCATGAGATGAGCATATTAAGAATTGCTCATCTAGTCCTCTGTTACAGTTTTTCAGTCTTTTTGGGGCCCGGCAGGTTGAGTGGGTAAGAGCACTTGCTCTCAAACATGAGGCCCTCACTTTGGACCCTCAGCACCAATGTGCTGGCATGACGTCATCCTGAGAGCTCCCTGGCCAGCCAGCCTGGCCTGACGGGTAATGAATGTTCTAGTTGAGTGAGAGTCCCTGTCTCAAGGCATTAAGATGTGTGTAAAGGAAGACACTTCACGTCTTGCTCTGGCCTCGACAGAGCTCATAGGCCACACACCCATGCCCCAACACCGCCACTGCCATCAACAAAAACCCCACATGTCCTTTCTGGATATTTTTCTTACTTTTTTTTTTTTTTTTTTTTTTTTTTTGGTTTTTCAAGACAGGGTTTCTCTGTGGCTTTGGAGGCTGTCCTGGAACTCGCTCTGTAGACCAGGCTGGCCTCAAACTCACAGAGATCCGCCTGCCTTTGCCTCCCGAGTGCTGGGATTAAAGGCGTGCGCCACCAACGCCCGGTGATATTTTTCTTTTGTAGAATATCTGTACTAACAAATCTGGAGTCATGCGGTTGAGTCTGAGGACTAATGGTCATGTTCTAAACAGATTAATTTTCAGTCTTTATTAGTCTGATGACAAGAAACTGCATCTGATAGTGTTTGGTTTGGCTTTCGTTTTTTCTAGACAGGGTTTCTCTATATAACCTTGGCTGCCCTGGAACTCACTCTGTAGACCAAGCTGGCCTCGAACTCAGAGTTCACTCAGCCTCTGCCTCCTGAGTGCTGGGATAAAGGTGTGTGCCATCACCACCTTGCTGTATCTGATAGTTTTACTGTGGATTTGTCTTACTGAGAACAAGCATGTCTTCCCAACCATATGAATTTCCTTTTCAGAAGGTTCTTATCTTGTGCCTTATTTCCTCTTGAATACTTAATTTTTCCTTATAGACTTTAAAGAATTATTTATATATTTGAGTTAAAAATTAAGAATTTTGCTGAGCAGTGATGGCACACGCCTTTAATCCTGGCACTGGGGAGGCAGAGGCAGGTGGATCTTTGCGAGTTCCAGGACAGCCTGGTCTACAGAGTGAGTTTCAGGAGAGCCAAGGTTACACAGAGAAACCCTGTCTTGAAAAACAAAAGCAAAACAAAAAAGTAAGAATTTTGGATCAGGAGTGGTGGGTACGCCTTTAATCCCAGCACTCTAGCGCCAGAGGTGGGCACATATCTTTGAGTCCCAGGCCAGCCTGGTCTATATAGTGAGGTCCTGATTAATCAGAACTACATGGTAAGATCTTGTCTCAAAAAAACAAAAAGTTTTTTTTAATCACAGTAGGTAGCCAGTTTGCTTTTTCTGATTTGATTTTTATGGAGTTAGGTTTTCAATCTAGTTTCTTGTGGTTTCTGAGTTTTGCTATCTCTAAGGCCTTCTGTTCTACTAGATGATGATGTCAGTTTGTTTTGAGGCAGGGTGTGACTCTGTATTCCAGGCTGCCTTGGAATTTACTGTGTAGACTGGACTAGTCTTAAACTGGTGACATCTTTCCTCTCTGGTTCTGGAGTGTTAGGTTTGCAAGTGAGCATGGATTATTGACAAGAGAAAACTCTCCTGAGTTTTTCTTTAGAACATTTATTGTCTTGTTTTAAAATTAATTTACTTACTTAAGACAGGGTCCCTGGCTTCCTGGAGTTAAACCATACTGGTCTTGAACTCACAGAGATCCTCCCACTCTGCCTCCTGAATGTTGGAATTAAAGGTCTGAACCACCACTCTTGGCCTTAAATTTTATTTATCTTGATATAAGAGCTGGTACAGTCTGGGTACTTGCTGAGAGTTAAGTGTGTGCTGCTTGCTTGCCTCTTAGAGTCCTGTGGAAGGGAAGCTGTGACAGGCTAGGATGTGGCCATATGGTTGTTGAATTTCCTTTGATGTTGACTCTCAAAAGCCAACATAATTCAATTTTCCATATGGCTGTATGATCTTATTGAGTAATTTACCTCACCTCAACCATACACTAAATTCTAGTGTTTTTTGGTTTGTTTTGCTTTTTTGGTTTGTTTTATTCTTTGGTACAAAGTCTCATGTAGCTGAGGATGACCTCTAACTCTCCATGCATCCAAGAATGATCTCCAGCTTTCACCTCCAGAGTGCTGGGGTTACAGACATGTACAGTAACATGCTTTTATGTGGTCCTAGGGATTGAACCAAGCAGGGTTTCATACATGCTAAGCAAGTGCTGTACCAAATGAACTACACTCCCAGCTACCTTCCTTTTCTCTTTTAATGGCCTCTTTACATGTGGGTCTCACATCATCTTGTGTTATGTTTACTACAGGTAGGATTCATCACTTACTGCCTTTTCCTACTTTGTATTATCCTGGGAAATTTTGACTATTTTTCACCAGAAATTTTCGTATCAGTGTGTTAGGCTGTACTCTCAAACTGTTGGTGTTTTGTTGGAGGTGGAGGTAGAGGTGGCTTTCTTTCCCCTCGTTTTTAAAACTGGAACATTTATTATTTGACTGTTGGAATTCTCAGTGTGAACTGGATGCCGCAGCAGCTTCCTTCTTGGGTTCAGGTGTTGCCCCTTCGCAAAGTTCATTCCTGAATCTGCTGCAATAGATATCTTTTCTTTTTTTGAAACAGGGAAGCACCTGGCCTGGAAGCATCTCTGTACATCAGGCTGGGCTCATATTCACAGACATCCACCTGCCTCTGCCTTCCAAGTGCTGGGATGAAGGCATAGGCCACATGCCTGCTGCAAAATGTCGTTTTTAGGTGTGTCATTTGCCCTGTCCTGGCTGTATTTTGTGTCTTAATGTTGGCACTCTAGTTAGAGTTTCTCTTGTGTTTGGTAGGGTAGGCAGGCGTTTTTACCACAGGCTAACTTCTTGAGGTGGTAAGCCTCAGAAGGGAACACAGTATGTGTGCTTACTGAGACCCTTTGCAAATAATGATGTTTCTTTCATCATTTTGCTTCTGCCACTGAGACCAGAGGGCAGAAATAGCTTTTCGAAATGTTCTGATTAATAGGGGAAAAAACCAGATCTTTCTGTTAAATATTCCCATTCAAGAAAATAGTATATTTTGTATTCTTTCACCCTGTTTTTAAGTGGTGAACATGAAACCCAGGGCCTTGTAAGTGCCTCAACATTGACCTGCATCCTAACTATTCTGTTCATTCTCTTCTCCCTTACTAGTATTTTGTTTTTTCCTTGGTGATCATTTTGTATTCTCTTTAGAGTCCCTTTCTATTTATTTATTTACTTACTTACTTTTTGTTTTTGTTTTGTTTTGAGACAGGATTTCTCTGTGTAGCCCTGGCTACTCATTCTGTAGACCAGGCTGTGTTTGGGCTCAGAAATCCGACTGCCTCTGCCTCCTGAGTTCTGGGATTAAAGATGCTCACTGCCACTGCTTTGCTCTATTTATTTATTTTTATTTTTATATAAATATATTTATTTTTATTAATGTGTCTGGGATTTTTGCTTGCATGTGTATATGTGTACCCCATGTATGCAGTGCTCATGGAGACCAGAAGACTTCATCGGATTATCTAGAACTGGAGTTACAGACAGTTGTGAGTCATTATATAGGGGCTGGGACTCTAACCTAAGTCCTCTGCAAGAGCAGCCAGTGCTCTTAACAGCTAAGCCATCTCTTCACTTCAGCCCCTTTTTTTGTTTTTATTATTATTATTATTATTTTGTTTTGTTTTTTTGAAACAGAGTTTCTCTGTAGAGGGCTGGCCTTGAACTCACAGAGATCCGCCTGCCTCTGCCTCCCTGTGCTGGGATTAAAGGCATGTGCCACCAACACCCGGCCCTGTTTTTATTATTCTTATTTTTTGAGACAGTGTCTCATGATGTTTTGGTTGGCCTATAACTCACTGTGTAGATCAGATTGGCTTCAAACTCACATAGATCTGTCTACCTCTGCCTCCTAAAAATTGAGATTAAAGAAAGGCACACTTGATGGACTATGTTGGTGCACACCTTTAATCTCAGCACTTGGAAGGCAGAGGCAAGTAGATCTCAGTGAGTTTGAGGCCAGCCTGATCTCAGAGAGATCACAGAGATTCGCCTGCCTCTGCCTCCCCAATGCTGGGATTAAAGACATGGGCTGTCACCCCCAGTTTATCATATGGATTTTAAACAGGTTTTTAAACCATAGTATTCTAGTAAAGAAGTGTTCATGTGTATGAAGGCTATAGTATGTACATTTAAAAATTCTTTTCTCTTTCCTATCTGATCACCATTTCACATTGAGAGTGTTTATATACATATTCCACACACATATAATTATGTATGCGTAAATTTTTATGTAAGAAGATTAAGAGCCATAGCTGGCCTTGTGGCTCACATCTATAATCCCAACATTATAATCTCCAACATTTAGGAGATAGATTAGGAGTTCAAGTCCAGCCTCAGCTATACAGAGATTGAGACTGACCCTGGCTATATAGTAAGATCCTATTTCAGTCCCCTCCTCCAAAGAGTAGCAAAAAACCATTTCCCCACATTGTCATAACTTCTTGCTCCCGAAAGGACCTGGTCTCACAAGCTGAGTACTACCACTGAGCTCCATGTATCCTTAACCCCTGATCATTTATTGTAACACGAGACTTGCCATTTTAACTGTCAGCTGCATTCTTTCCATTGTGAAACCATCACCATTATGTATTTCCAAAACTTTCATCATCAGAAGTGAAGTTCTGTAATGATAAATAATTCATTTGTTCCCAGCCCTTGCCAATGTCCAGTTGACTTTTATCCCTATGAATTTGCTTATTATAGAGTTTTCATATAAGTAGTAATTGACATTGTATATCAGACTTATTTCATTCAGCCTAATATTTTCAGGATGTGTGAGTTTGCTCCTCTTTGTAACTGACTATTAATTGTGTAGACAATGGAAGCCATGGGCTTTAATGGCCCTACAATCCTGTATGTGGAGAGGTTCTGCTTTCTTAGCCAGTCTTCTTTTGCCCTCACGCAGATAAACCACGAAGCAGATATGCTGTCAGCAACACGGCTGAACATGTTGATGACCAGGATGGTGACTCCAGGTAAGGACTCACCAGTCATTCTGGACAGGATGCTTGGTTCTCTTCCTAGGCCTGGCCAGAGCTCTAGCCTCCTGCTGTCCCAGATGTTTGTCCCTCTGAGAAACCTGGTGCCCTTCTCCTCCAAGTAATGGGTGCTTTTAGGTAGTACAGAGCTAGGGTTGCACTGCCAGACCCTGACTTGCTCAGAGATTCGGCCCATGCACCAGCTATGGCTAGTTGGTTCATAAAGGAGCCAGAGGATGAATGAGGCATGTCCACGTGATACATTTCTCTCCAATGAGAGGCTCAGACCTGATTCCTTAGCACATGCCCAGTCAGGTGCAGGTGCTCAGGTACAGTGCAGCCAGGGCACATCCTTTCTCAGGTGACGGTGGCAGCAGGGGCTGCCATGCCTGACACTCCTTCAGGCCTGGGTGAAAGGCAAGTCCTTCTCCCCATGTTTACTCCTCTTCTGTGTCTAGGAGGTCTCGCAACTACATTCATAAGCCCCCTCCTGCCTTCTTATGTGCATTTTGAAGGTTAGTGAGAGACAGCGTAAGTGTAGGAAATGGAGAGAAGATTGTGATTTACTGGTCCTGGACCCCCTGAAACATAGACAAGGTCTGCGTGGGGTAAAGGATAGCACCTCCACTGTCCCAAGGAAAGAGCTGAGACTCCCACACTGGGTCTTTGCTATGTAGTGAGTCAGTGATGTTTCCTGTCAGTTCTTTGAGGAGGCACCAAATCTACCACTGTGATTTACAGCACCAAAAGTATGCCAGTTTTTTTTGTTTTTGTTTTGCTTTGGTTTTGTTTTATTTTATTTCACTTTTAGTTTTTGTGGCAAGGTTTCAGGCTGGCCTCTGTGCAACTGAGGATGACTTTGACCTTCTGGTCCTCCTGCCTCTACCTCTTGAATGCTGGGATGACAGGCATGTGCCACTATATCCAGTTTTATGTGGTTCAGGAGATCCAACCCAGGGCTTCATGCATGCATGCTAAGCATGAACAACACAGTCTACCATCTTGATCTGTAAGCCACATCCTCAGCTCCCAAAGTGTGGTTTGTATCCTCTCCTATGAGCATGGTAGAGTGTGGGGGTAGGGGCGGTTTGGGGTAGCTGAGGGTAGAAAATTGCTGATCCCCTTTTAGAGGAGGTTCTTGATGTAGAGGCCTGAGAGTTTTTTCTTTGTTTGTCTTTTTCCCCTTTAAGGATGGTAGTTTGAAATAAATGTGTCACAGGCACACGGATAGCTTTTGCCTCAGCTGGCTGTGGTGGCACTTGCCTCTAATAATAGCACTTAGAGGTGAATGCAAGGAGGATCAAGAATTTAAAGCCAGACTCAGATCCTTAGCAAGTTTTGAGGCCAGCCTGAGCTACATGAGACTGTCTCAAAACAACAAAACTGTTTTGCCCCTGCGTACTGTTTTCCACACATGCCACAGACCACCTTGGAGCAGGACTGCCCTCACGATCACTCCCCACAACCCGAGTTCACTGGAAAGGAAGTTTCAACAGTCATCTTTTTTTTCCTTTTTTTCTTTTTTTCCAGGCTTTTTTAAGACAGGGTTTCTCTGTGTAGTCTTGACTGTCTTGGAACTTTGTAGACCAGGCTGGCTACAGACTCACAGAGATCCATCTGCCTCTGCCTCTGCCTCCAGAATAATGGCATCAAAGGACACCATGCTGCTGTGCCTGGCTTTGAACAGTCTTTGGCAGAGACATTTCCTAGGGATGACGGCAGCGGCAGCGTCTAATTCCTGCAGTTGAACTCAGGGATTTACAAAGATGTTTTCTAGGGACCCATCTCAGTATTTAGCATGAGAAAAAGAGAGGACAGTGGGAGGAGAGTATTGTTGTCTGAGTTCTTCAACTGAATTTGAGAATTGTTTCACTTGGTAATACTCTGTAGCATCTGCTGACCCTTGCCCCATGATTACAGGATGCAGATTAACTTCCTTTGGGCCCCTCTTAGCTCCCCAGCTCAAACTTCTCTGAAGCAGTGCTGCTGCAAAGCCCACTCATTCTCTGTCATCCTCGGCTGCTCCCAAAGGTGCTTTCCTTTCGGGAACCTGCAGGATATTCCTGCTTGTCAGCTAGGCGGGGTTGTCAGCCCTTTGTAATCAAGGACCAGAGCTATGCTGTTCAGTCAGGATCATGGGCTCTGGCCAGTGGCTGTTTACACAGAAAGACTTGGATTCCTAGCACTTCATAAACTGGGCATGATGGTGAATTCCTGTAATCCCAGAATTTAAGAGGTGGAGACATGTGGATCATAAGGTCAAGGCCATCCTGAGCTTTGTAATTGATTTGAGGTTAACTTGGGATATGGGAGACCCTGTCTCAAACAAACAAACAAACAAACAAAAAAACCAATCAGTCAATAAATAAATGTCTCTGAAATTAAGAAAAAGAAATCTAGCAACTTAGTCCCCCATTCCAAGTGTCGTCACCACCCTGCCACTTCAGGTGCTCACTGGCTACTGAATTATAGATGCCACTTGGAATGTATCCACCACTGTAAAAAGTTCTGTCGGAGAGCCCATTGTGACTTGACTAGTTGTAGGGGATAAAGCTGGTGAAACTTGAGCTGCTGGGATGCTGGGTGAAGTCTATTAAACTTCAGTGCTGTGTAATCTGATGAGCTTAAGTTTGGAGCTGCTAGGAAATGGCTCCTTTAGTATGTATTTCTCTTACAACAGTCTTTGGCCATCTTGTTTGTTGATGAGAGCAAACTGGACAGGGAGTCGCTGTGGGTGGTCCAGATAGTGCCCTCATGTAGCTTCCCATGGTTGCTTGGAAAGCAGCAGCATGTTCTAGAACAAATCGCTCTTCATAGGAACATAAACTATTAAGTTCCTAAAAATCTAAGTCAGATAGTACAGAAACTCCAGTTTTCTGGCAAAAGCATGCTTGTTCTACTGTGACCTCCTTACCCTCGGGTAGAGGCTCAGGGAGGTCAGTATGCAGGTGGTCCAGTGTTTCAATAACTGGGGCTGGAAGATACTCATATGATCCCACAGTTCAGAAGGCTTTTCTGTCTGGGCATCTTATTTGATCTCTTGGAAAGATAATGCATTTGTACCCAGCTGTCCAGCTAAGTCTTGTGGCACTAGGGTCTAGCCTTCCAATGTCCTTAATTTTGAACAGTGACTCTCACTCTCTCCTGGCCTGTATTTGTTTGTGAGAATTTGAGCTTTAGTAAGAAAAATCCCTTGTAAGTGTTCATCTGGGGTATGTATGTCTTCTTTCTCATCTGGTAAGTCGATTTATTTGGCTAATACTTCATAATGGTGCTTCTGCTAGATTTTAGTACTGTGTTTATAAGACAACCTTAAAACTTTTTGTGGTTTTTAAGAAACAATGTTTTGTTTGGTCTTGATAGTCCTGTTCCCATTTCAGCAAGCCATGTCCTCCAACCGATGAGCAATTGGTTGCAGGGTAAGACCAAGATCCCTCCACCTTTTTTCTGTCTTGATTCCGGCTGCCTTCTCTTCTTGTAATTGTGCTTACTGCCTAATTTCTCTCAATGTTGAAGAATGACTAACGAGGTGCATAGGCCCTAGCTTGGAACCCTCCCTGCCTCTCAAAAGCCCAAATTTTCCCACAGCCTCTTCCCTTTTCCCATCCAGAATTATTTAGCTATTTTACACCCCCCTTCCCCCCCAACCTAAAGCATGGTCGGCTGGTACCAGAGAGACTTCTGGACCAGGTGTGCTGTGCAAACCTCCTCAAATAGTCCTGTGATGTTGGGCCAACATGTGTGAGTTTCTTATCTCCTGTTTTACTGCCATATCAGGGGCCTGTGATGATTGTTCCTTGCCTTTAGTTTTGAGAGGGAGAGGGATAGAGAGAGAAAGATAGACAGACACTATTAACAGTATTTGAGTATTTTAGTGTGTAGTTAGATACTCAGGTTTAGATTTAACTGAATATACCAAGAAGTAACAGAAGTGCCCCCATGAAGGTGATATGGAGCTTTTACAGGCTGCACTGTCTTGCCTCCCTAATAGGGCATCCTGTGTAGGCTGTGGATATACATACAGTATGTGTGACTTTCCATCAATAGGCAGGCTGAGAGGCTGGAGAGAGGCTTAGTGGTTAAGAACACTTTCTCTTAAGAGGACCAGGGTTCAATTCCCAGCACCCATGTGGCAGTTCACAACTGTCTGTAACTTCAGTTTCAGTTTCAGGGAATCCAGTACCCTCTTCTGTCCTCCAAAAGCCTCAGGTCCACACCTGTGCACATACATCCACATTTAAAAAGGGGGGCAGGTTGAGGATGTAGAGTTGAGTCCTTTCCAATCTTTCTCCTTCTCTGTTTTTGGGTAGCTCTACTCCAAAATGATTAAAAATAGAATTTTGGCCTGCTTTTTAACTGGACTATTACCTCTTCCTAAGTAAGCTTTTCTTAGCTGTTCAAGTTAGAAATTTTTAGTTTTTGTAACCCCACGTTTTGTTATCTTATATTTACCATGTTTTTACCATCAAAAAGGTTTTTGTAAATTTAGGAAGCAATAAACCTTGTCCTTTGTAATTGGCTATGTCTCAAGATGACTTTATCTTTGTGCACATTATATCATCAAACACTATGTGAAGTTCATAGCCAAGCAAGTGTTTTTCATCATGAATGTGTTATGTTAAGAGGTCACATGCAGCTCAGACCTCAGATGCATACGATGGTAAATTATGCAGGGACTTCCAGGACAGCCACTTAAGGCATTGTGATTTAACTTCACCAGGGGAAAGATTTGATTTTGTTCCTTCAAGGGCATGTTTAGCTTTTAGTATGGATGAATGGAAACTGAGATACCACTGCATGCCTCTGGGAGTCCCATGGCCAGAGCTGAGGCATGTCTGTGGCTCTTCATGACAGCGAAGATTTTTAGTGGAGTTTTTTGACTATCAAGGAAGAATTGTTGCAGAATGGTTAAGGTCATTCTCCCATCTGCTGCTTTTGGATGGTGGAATGTCAGTTGTTGCTTGTTTAGATGTGATGTGAAATGATGGCTGGATCAGAGCTCAAGTGTTTGATAGGGTTTTAATATCCTGATGTGTCTTTCAAACAGGTGGAATAGGACAGAGAGAGATGTGTAGACTTTGAAGAAAACTTATAATGCCCTGGTCTGAGATGCTGGAGTCTTTCATATCTGCTTAATCACTCCAGACATTAATGTTCTAGGAAAGCAGGAACTGAAGACTTGGCTATGGGTCCTGCAGGTCCCAGAATGTCAGTGATAAAACTGGTGCTAAAAGGTTTGAGCAGACCCTCATTGCAAAGGGCAAGGAAGCCCTTTCTGACCAACTCTCTGTGTCTGGTTTATTGGGGGCCCAGGAGCCCCATGGCAGCTGGAGGATCCTGCTTGTTCTACAGGGAGCCAGTGCCCCTCAGGTCGTAGTAGCCTGGAGCTTTCTTACTGGCCTGGTCAGAAGTGGGAGAATTGCACAGCTGCTTGTCTTACATGTTGACTATAGCCAGGCTTCTGTTCCTGCTACCTCCAGGTCACTCTTCTTACGGCCCTGCTTTGTGTAGGGTGGCCTGGAATGAATGCCCCATCCTAGATACTTTTTATCCCAGTGTCATTTGCTGCTTTGGAGTTGAGCCACACCAGCTGTTTGAAGCTGACCTTCCTTTTCCATCTTGTAATGGAGGAATTATGATGTCAGTTTGTTTTCCATCCCTCAATGGAATGTCTGCCCCAAATAGTCTCTTTCAGGACTGTAAGGGTCTTCTTGCCCAGGGCAGACTATATTTCTGGTAGTGATGGAGCTGTCTTCTCCAAACCACCCTCCCTAGATATTAGAAAGCTTTCCTTAGTAGATAGGTGAGCATAGGTGCTCTGTCCCTCCAGGGCCAGATTAGAAACAGTGCCTGTGTGTCTACAGTGGAGGCCCTCAGTTGCTGGTCTCTGAGATAAGAGGCAATACCAGGCCCCAGTGCTCTCCACCCTGCAGGCAACTCACTTATCCATATCCCCCAGACAGGGAGGACTAGGTTTACCAGTAGGGGCACAGATGTACAGATGCCTATTGGGAGGGGTGAGTTCTCACACTCAGCCATTCCCACTTACTTATGACATTTTGTTTCTATGCATCCCATGTTCCTGTAACACACTGCAACTGCATGCCTTGTACAAAATTCCCTCATTAAGAACTGAGAAGTTTTACATGTTCAGGATAAGGGAAGGGCTGGGCAGCTATGCTGAGAGGGATGTAGTTAGCATACTGCATGCATCTTGAGCTCTGTCCTCTGTCCTTTTTGTGGCCCTGTTGTGGAGGGCCTGGAGTCATGGAGGTTCAGAGGTACAGAGGTACAGTTCCACAAACCAAAGTACAGTAAGGAGAGGCCCTTCTGCCTGTGAGCCTCCATGAGTGGCTCCTAAGGGCAGTGCCAGCCCCAGCTGATCCTCCTTTTAAATGCAAATCGCAGCTGTTCCTCTTCTAATTTCATTCAGCATGCAATAAATGACAGCATGTGCCTTCAGCCTGTGCTTCTCCTGCCTTCTACCTGTAATTCTGGTGATTTCACATCCCTATCCTTGGGATTGCTACAAGAGAGCCACTGATAGAAATGCCACCCACTGGGGACAAAGTAGCTCCACAGAACTGTTGTTTCCTGAGCCACTCCCCACTTGTGGGTACTTGGACAGGGTGCTATGATTTTTGTTAATGTATTTCCATCCTGCCTTTTTAAAATTCTAAGGTTCTCGGATGTTATTCTGGCAACAATTTTGGCAACCAAGTCTGAAATGTGCGGCCAAAAATTTGAACTGAAGATTGATAATGTACGGTTTGTTGGGCACCCAACACTGCTGCAGCATGCTCTGGGGCAGGTATGGCTCTCCTCAGCAGGTAGGACTTCTCTAGGGTGGGTGGGCATGACCTCTTCTGGCTCTTAAGGTCAGAACTATGCCAACATTGATGCTGGTGAATGTGCCATAGGGACAGCAGGCATGATCAGGTACTTACCTTGAATTGTGTACCTTTATAGGTCCCGGGAATCCAGAAGATGATGACAGGGGGTACTTGCTTGTTTTTTATTTAGTGATGGATGGAACCCAAGGCTTTCCATGTGCTATGCAGTTGTTGACCCACTGAGCTACATCCCTAGCTCTGTTACTGGCCTTTGCTGACTACATTCTGTGTCTCTACTAACTGTGGCCTTTCCTCTTATATATAAGGTGTTTGCTTTCAGAGAAGGTAATAGAACAAGTTAACTAGCAATTCTCTAACTCCTGAACTTTCTAAATGGTGCAAGCACTTCCTGTTAAATATTTTAATAGCCAGCATATTTTAGCATGTATTGTACTAACTTTCCCTCCCTCCCCCCCCCCTTTGGCTTTTTTCAAGACAGGGTTTCTCTGTATTGCTTTAGAGCCTGTCCTGGAACTTGCTCTATAGACCAGGCTAGCCTTGAACTCACAGAGATCCGCCTGCCTCTGCATCCCGAGTACTGGGATTAAAGGCATGTGCCACCAACACTCGGCCCTTGTGCTAACCTTATATATTGTTTCTGGTAGATGAGTATTTGGGTACTGAGGAGTACTAGCAAGGTGGTTTGTGCTATTACTCAAAGCCACTTGTCCACTAGAGCCAGTCAACTTTGCACACAGGCAGGATCTAAACAGCATCACCTAGATTCAAAAGGGGTGTGCCGTACCATATAGAACTTGTATAAAGAGCTGAGCTGTGACTTGCAAGCTTCATCCACGTGAGGAGCTTCTGAGGTCATTGGAAATACCCTACCCCTTTGATAATACCCTTCCTCCTTACAATGGTCTTTTTGGGGGGGGGGGTTGAGGCAGGGTTTCTCTGGCTTTGGAGCCTGTCCTAAAACTAGCTCTTGTAGATCAGGCTGGTTTTGAACTCACAGAGATCGCCTGCCTCTGCCTCCCGAGAGCTGGGATTAAAGATGTGCACCACCATCGGCATTACACTGGTCTTTTACAACAGTCTTTAATGACAGGGCTTGGGTTCCTATCTATGGATGGAGAGGGGGAGAGTTGACAGTCACTTCCTGTAGAATTGCAGTGACAGGTAGGGATGGGTACATTTCCTGGGTGTTATAGAGAGAGTTCTAACTCCCTCTTTAGGCAACACTTGTATTTAGGCTCAAAGAACTGGTGGCTTTCAGAGAGGTACCTTTGAATGCTTTGGCGTTTCTAAGTGGAGCTGCCTGGATTCCAGAACTGGAAGAGATAGCGACTTGGCTCTGTAGCAAGACTGGCTACTCCTTTTCATCAGGGCTGCTAAGCACTGTCCCATTTCTAAATATCCTGAGCCCTTGCCATGGCAGCAGAGGCATGGTTTCTGGGCTCTCCATCCACTTGCATTCCTTTCTTTTCCTGTCACTTTTGGACATTGTCAGCTTGATTCTTTCAATCATGGAACTCAGAGCCAGCCATCCTGCTTCTTCTACACATGCAATTCATCTGTTTGTGTGGTTGATTCTTCTCTGAGCAAAAGCATTAATGGCTTCTCAAAGACTGGGGATGTTTTTCTCTCACTTTACCACACTGTAGAGCCTTTCTCCATGCATGAAGTAGAATGATCTAACAACTTTCTGTAGAAAGTCACGACTCTCTGCTGGCTATGGCATCTCACCCCTCCATTTCCAGTACTGGGAGCCTGAGATAGGATCACTGTGAGTTCAAGACCAGCTTGGATCCATAGTAAGTTCTAGGTCACCCTGAAGTTCATAGTGATAGCCTGTCACAAACACACAGACAGGATGTCGTGTCTTTTCATTTATTAGAATTATGCTCTTTTACAGGTCTCCAAAACAGATCCATCTCCAAAGCGGGAAGCACCCACCATGATTCTTTTTAATGTGGTGTTTGCACTGAGGGTGAGTGTTTCCACTGATGGTGAGTCAGTGAGTGTATGAGTGCTCAGATCAGGAAGTAGGGTCTGAGGGAGAAGAGCCAGTTTCATTGGCCCAGGGCTCAGATTGTGGGCACGACACTGACCCTTATGGTGTGCAGGTGGAGCGTAGCTCATTGTTTTTCCCTCTTCCTCTTTCTCCTTAAACTTTTTTTGTAAAATTCATACATATAACTATTTACTTTATTAACAGTAGTGATGAACCCAGAGCCTCATGCACATTGGGCAAGCACTCTGCTACTAAGCTGCATCCCTAGTCCTGAATGTTTCCCATTTTAAAGTGTGTGGTGGGGGCTGGAGAGATGGCTCAGCAGTTAAGAGCATTGGTTACTCTTCCAGAAGACCGCAGTTCAATTCCCAGCAAACACATGGCAGCTCACAACTGTCTGTAACTCCAATTCCAAGGGATCCAACACCCTCACACAGACAAAACACCAATGCACATAAAATAAAATTAAGTAAATTAAAAAAAAATAATAAAGCATACGATGGCACACGCCTGTAATCCCAGTTTTTGTAAGGCTCATGCAGGAGAATTGCCACAAATTTAAGGCCAGCCTATGTTACAGAATGAGATCCTAGTTTAAAAACAGATGAACACTCAGCTAGACCAGGTACATTCCTATAATCCCAGCACTTGGAGAGCTGAGATAGGATAAGCAGTTTCTGCTACCTAGTGAGTTTGAGCTCAGCGTATGTAAATGAAACCCTATCTTAGTGCCCTATTACCCTCAAAAAAGAAACCCCAGACAGGGTTCTCTGTGTATTCCTTGTTGTCCTGGAACTCCCTTTGTAGATCAGGCTGGCCTCGAACCCAGAGATCGGCCTGGCTTTTGTATCCTTTTTAGACATGGTCTTGCATATCCCAGACTGGCCATGAACTCTTATGCATCTGAAGATGACCTAGAACTCCTGATCCTTCTGCTTCCACCTCACAAATGTGGTAGGATTATCGGCATGTGCCCCATGCCTGTTGTATGTTCACTCATTATTCCATTACTACAAGACTTATCTATAAAGTAATGGTTATTATTTTTCAATCTGACAAGAATTAACCATGATAAGATGACATTAATCGATACCTACCTAGTCCATTAAAACTTCCTGATTGAGAACATAGTTTTCCAGTTGGCCTGTGTGAGCCAAGATTCAGACCCTACTCATTATGTGTGGTATCTCTGTCTCTACTAGTCTTAGCTGTCCTGCCCATTGTACCATCACATTTTCCACATCCAGATTTGTCTTATTGGGTAGACTGTGATACCTGCTTCCCGACTTTCTGTGTCCTACAGACTGGAAGTTACTGTGGAGGTGTTATATTTGAATACAAGCTTTTGGCAAGAAGCCCGAGTGATGACATAGTCACTTTGGTGCTGCTTCCTATTCTGTACTGTGGAAGTTTACTTTGTTTGTTTAAGATGGTGTCACATAGACTGGGCTGGCCTCAGACTTCATATGTAGACTTGAACTTGATCCTTCTACCTCTGCCTCCCAAGTGCTGGTATTGTAGGGATAAGCTGTCACACCTAGTTGCAAGTATGCTCTTTGTAAGCATTGCCATTAAAGTCTGGCATGTTCACGGTGGCAGCTTCCTCAGTGTTAGCTCATGTAAACAGGAGATACCAGATATCCCTTCAGTGTATGTCATTGAGCCTTATAGGGATGGGGGGAAGGTAGGAACCATTTTGCACAAATGGGAAACTAAAACAGTTGGTTCCCAACAGCTGATGTAGGATGCTTTTTGCCTCAGCTAGTGGCACCTCCAGCAGAAGGTAAGATGCAACTATGACTTCAGTCCTTCCTCAGAGGAATAACCTGTGTCCAATATTTTTTCCCTTCTTTTCTAGTGGAAATGTTTTTACTCAGACTCTTTCTAAATGTATATTTTTATTTTGGGGCATTTGTACATACTCTTTAACCAGCCCATTTAGGACATGGTCAGGGGATACCTTAGGCCTCTAGAGTCAGGGTAGATGGCCTTGTTGCAAGTCTGCCCACGTGCTAGTTCCCTTTGTAAAGATGGGAGTTACTGGGAATATAGAAAATCTCTCCAGTTCCAGGTAAACAGAGTGTTGTCTGGGTATGATTTTGACTTAAAGGTAATAGGCACAGGGTCATCTGGAAAATACATAGGATGGGAAAACAGCATCAGAGGTCCTAATCAGTACTGCCATTTGTCCTTCTCCCTTCTAACCCTGTACCCCAAAGTATTACTCAGCAGTCCTGGTGGCCTCAAGGAACACTGAGTCATGCTTGGCTCAGTTATCTGCTCCTTCAAGCATCTCCATAGATCCCACAGTGGCTTGCTCCACCCTAGTTCTGGGTGTGTACACCTCCTGGTTGACTGTGGTCTCTGATAGGTTCCAGAGGGATGAGAGACACTGCTAACCTGAGAAGCTTCCGCATGCTGCTTTGACCTAGTCAGTGTGGGTGCACAATGGATAATGGTTTTTAGGGGTGGTGGTGAACGTGGACCTGGAGCCTGCTGGTACTCTGGTCAACTTATGTCTTCTTTGCTAGGAAGAACTCATCCCTGGCAGACGTTTAGCAAACAGTACAATGCTTCTGTAACAGTGTGGCCAGTTTTGAATGAATTCCTCTGTACTGTAGACCAGACATGTTCATGAATGGTCAGTGCACAGCAATGATTACAGATACCTCCAAGGTTTTGCTCAGGGCAGCCTCTGTTCTGAGTACTGTATGTGTTTGACTGGTTTTCTCTGCTCAGTTGGTTGTCCTTCCTGAGATGAGGATCTGTGACCCAGATCACACAACAGATGGGTGGGATCTGTGAGATCTGTGCCCTTAGCTGTCCCTAGCTTTTCTGTACAGTCCTAGCATAATGGGAATGTGTGTTCCTCATAGAGGATTCTCATAGAGTCATCTCTGTAGCCTTCTAGACAGTTGTTCCCAAGACAAGAAGATAGGGTGTCAGCTAGCATTTATGTAGGTAGGCTGTAAATTAAATACGCACAGGGAATTCGGGAAGGTAATTCTATGAGGAGGAACCTAGTGGAAAGGAATTGGAAAGGGCCTTTTTCTTTTTCTTTTTTTTTTTTTTTTTGGTTTTTCAAGACAGGGTTTCTCTGTGGCTTTGGAACCTGTCCTGGAACTCTTGTAGACCAGACTGGTCTCGAACTCACAGAAATCCACCTGCCTCTACATCCTGAGTGCTTGGATTAAAGGCATGTGCCACCACCGTCTGGCAATGAGGGCCTTTTTCATGGTCTATGCTTTTGCTATACACATGTATTAGCTCCTTTTAAATTGTGTGTCTCTTTTTTTTTTTTTTTTTTTTGGTTTTTCAAGACAGGGTTTCTCTGTATTGTTTTGGAGGCTGTCCTGGAACTCACTCTGTAGACCAGGCTGGCCTCGAACTCACTAAATTGTGTGTCTCTGTGTACATATTCACTGTTTGGTCTCTCTTACGCAGGCCAACGCTGACCCATCAGTGATAAACTGTCTACATAACTTGTCCCGGCGCATTGCCACTGTCCTGCAGCATGAGGAGCGCCGCTGCCAGTACCTCACTCGAGAGGCCAAACTGATCCTAGCACTTCAGGATGAGGTGTCAGCCATGGCTGACGGTAAGTGAGGCAGCTTACTGAGCATGGGTCTGGTCTGGCTGATGACTTCTCTTGGTGTAGTATTTCCAGAGGACTCACTGGTCACTATGCTTTGTTTTGAGGCAATTGAAGATAATGCTCCTAATTGGCCCTCTAGTTTCAGGGACACTAAAGAGATCCTCTATGCAGGAATGGCAGGCTTACTGCCTGATTGCAGGTTTGATCGCATGCCAGTTCTCTTTGTGGACTTGGGGTGAGCTGAGAGTACAGAGAATCTCTCTGATTCCAAGCGCCTCTTCCATACCACAACAGAACAGCCAGAAGCTAACCAAAGCTTTGGCATTTGGTGAGCTAGACACTGGAGAGGAAGTCCTTACAACAGCTAGTAAGCAGAAACTGGCCAGAGACGTTATAGGATCTTCACGTTGAGTTGGTCATGATCAGGGGCACAGGAAGGCTCTTCTAGGAGTTTATATGTGGATGGGTCTGAATTGATATCTATAGGAAATATTCCCCCCCCATACACACACACACACTGCTTGCTATATGATCATCTTTCACCTAGGACAGGTACCTCTGTCTGGCATTGCTCTGGTAAAATAAGTGATTTCCATACTTGGCTTTTAAATGAAGAAGAATCTAACTATCCCCTAACCAGTTATAAGAAATAATATACGCACACCTTTAATCCCAGCACTCAGAAGGCAGAGACAGGCGCATCTCTGAGTTCGACACCAGCCTGTTCTACAAGAGCTAGTTCCAGGACAGCATCCAAAGCCACAGAGAAACCCTGTCTCGAAAAACAAAAACAAACAAACAAAACAACAGCAACAACAACAAAAAAAACACACACATAAAAAAAGAAATAAATAATCTTTGCTGACAGATACTGTAATGTTTGGTGTGCCCAAAGGACCAAACATAGGAGAGAAATTGGTAATCTCGGCCTCCTTTCACTAACTAGGTTAGCAGCTATAGAAGAAAGAATGAAGAACAGAAGTTAGATTAAAGTAACACAAATTAACAAAGTCCTGCCTGATTCTAGTATATTTTCAGTAAAAAATTTACCCTTTTTCTTTGAAAATTAGCTGGGTATGGTAGTATACACTTTTTTGTTGTTGTTTTGAGACAGTTTACTATGTAGCCCTGGCTGTCCTGGAACTCACTCTGTAGACCAGGCTGGCCTTGAACTCACAGAGATCTGTCTGCCTCTGCCGCCTGAGTGCTGAGATTAAAGTTGTATACCATCACTGCCCAGCTAAGATGGTGTGTAATACTGACACTTAATAGGCAAAGACTAGTGAATCTCTGAGTTCCAGTTCAGTTAGGGATATATAGAGAGACCCTGTCTCCAAAGCAAAACAATTGTATTGCGGATCTGGAAATGGTTATAGAGTGGTTACCTAGTACATGTGAGGCTCTGGGTTCCAGCCCCAGGACCCAAAACAAAATGACAACAAAAAGAAACAAACACTTATATTTTCTATTTTAGTTATAAATATGATATTAAACAATCCAGAAATTTTATTTCCTCTTCTTTGATGGTACTCACTTTTAATCTCAGGTTTGGGAGGAAGAGGCAGGTGAATCTCTGTGAGTTTGAGGCCAGCCTGGTTTACAGAGCTGAGTTCTAGTCCAGCCAAGGCTACAGACTGAGGCCTTGTCAAAAGGAAAGAAACAAACCCAAAACAACAACAATCTGCTAAAAAATTAAATATTAAAAACCCCACATTCATCTTAATTATGTATATGTTTGTTAGAGATTCATGAAGATTAATAAAAGACAATTCAGTCATAAAAACAAATATAATTAGCATACAAGTGTGGGAAGAGGAGTGGATATGGCATGGGACTACCCAGTCACTGCAACAGAAGGTGAGATCTAGTGATCTAAGAGACATTCCTTCCGTGGGAGGCAGTGGAATGCTTTGCTTCTGTTACTACAAGGTTGTATGGGCCAGTGACAAGTTTAAATAAAGGTATTTCATATAGAAATAATTTCACAAATCAGTGTGAGTCTACTTTTACAGGAATTGGGGATACATTGATGATGATGATGATGATGATGATTACAAGGAGTTTCCTGATGTTAGTTTAACATTGCTTTAACATTACTTATTAATGTTGAATTTGTTCTAAAGATAATTCCTGTTCTGGCTTGTGCGTATTTTCTTGCTTTGGAAGCTATAAATCCTTATCTGTTGTGATTCTTGTAGCAAACGAAGGTCCTCAGTCTCCGTTCCACCACATCCTACCCAAGTGCAAGCTGGCTAGAGACCTCAAAGAAGCTTATGACAGGTAAGACGGCCATGCTTGTTGTTCTCCTGGGTCATCTTTCCCAAGCTTCCAGAGCTGAAGCATTCTACAGACAATGCTGCCATGGGCTGGATAATGCTCTGGTGTGTGTGTTCTGGAGCTCTGCTGAGACAGGGACAAAAAAGGTTAGGGAAGGGATAGCTGTGTGGTCATTCTTCAGGAAACCATCTTGGTGTCCATTTTTCAAATTGCAGCCCCTTTGTTGAGTGATGTGTACTCAGCAGGGACTCATCACTCCAGACTCCTTTTAAAACAAGCTTGGGGCCTGGAGATATGGCTCAGTGATTAAGAGCACTGACTGTTCTTCCAGAGGACCTGGGTTCAATTCCCAGCACCCACATGGCAGCTCACAACTGTCTGTAACTCCAGGATCCAGCACCCCTCACACAGACATATGTGCAGGAAAAACACCAATGCACACACACACAAAAATATTAAAACAACAACAACAAAAAAAACCAGAAGCTTGGCCCAAGACTATACACAAAAGCCCGAAAATATTTTTCAACCATTAAGCCATTAAAAGTGACATTTTACACTTGGGAGGCAGAGGCAGGCAGATCTCTGTGAGTTCGAGACCAGCCTGGTCTACAGAGTGAGTTCCAGGACAGCCTCCAAAACATTACAGAGAAACCCTGTCTCAAAAAAACCAAAAAAACAAAACAAAACAAAACAAAAACTAACATTTTATTGAGCTTAACTTACTGCCAAGTTCTTTGCCACCTTTATTGAAGTGGGCCTCATTGACAGCTCCTGCTTAACATGAGGAAATCAAGGCTCAGTGGGTAGAACCGGAGTTGACTGTGATAGTTTGTGCTCTGGAAGACACTGACTATATGGGGTGGGCAAGTATTGTGGACACAATGGAAACCTGATGTTGATTTGAATACTCTGTTGGCTGAATACTCTGTTAAAGTATAAAGAGTGTGTGTGTGTGTGTGTGTGTGTGTGTGTGTGTGTGATAGCATCTCACTAAGTGGTCTAGGTTGGCTTGAGACTTAAGATCCTCCTGCTGGGATTGCAGGTATGTGACACTGTCTGTCTTTGTTTTGTTTTTTAGACAGGGTTCCATTATGTTGCCCTGACTGGCCTGGAACTGTCTCACTTATGTAGACAAGGCTGGGCTACATGGCATTAAAAAAAAAGTAAAAAGCCAACAGAGACTTCAGGTTTCTAAAGAGAAAAGAATGGACTGGGATTGTGGTGGAAAGTTGGAAGGAAGGTAAGACTGTATAGCAGAGTTCAGGACTTGATGCACCACAGTGCCACCTAGTGGACCAATCTGGAGCACAGGAATTTGAGATTTTGATGAGAAAAGCTATATTCAATATTCAAGATTCTTCCTCTGGCCAGATACCCTGTTTGTTAGTACACAGGAACTCGCTCCTTCAGGTGAACTCCTATACCAGCCAGTCCTGGGTACTAGAACCTGCTCTGGGGAGGCTGAGAGCCACACTTCTCTAGCAGTAGGTGACAGTTGTAACCTCCTCTGTTCCCACCCCTATCTAGTATTGGCACAGTTCTGTAATTGCCCAGTAGCCCTCTTGGCCTGATTTCCCTCCCCCCAGCCACATCCCACAAGTTCTGTGGTTGGCCTTGAGGTCCTGTTCCTCAGCAATACAAAGGTGTGACTGAGGGTACACTGGCTGGATAACTGTCTCCTGACAGCAGGTTCCTGCTAGAGTCCTAAGAAAGGTCTTCTCAGAGAAGACCTAAAAGATGGGAAGTTGTGGGCTTAATTGGTATAAAGCTTTGAAAGAATCTTTTCAACAGAATTGTTCTGGATTTACTATTTTAACCCAAGATAGGGTTCTGGTATAGTTGACTAGCTGTTCCCTAAGTGTCTTTGAATATAGACTGGAAGTCAGAATCTCTTAGGATATCACCCTGACTGTCCCCAGTACCTGTGTCTCCTTATGGAACTCCATGATCTCATGTGACCCCTGGGTTACATCCCTCAATAGGCCAAGGTTGTCCCTTCACTGTCTATATATAGCTGTTTGCATAGCTCATCCACTGATAGTTAAAGGAATGTGTAATGGGAAGAGAAATGATGGTGTAAATTCCTTGGGGTGTGAAGAAGTGTTTTGTTGAGTGAGTCTCTGAGTTAACAGGGACCATGGTAGAGTTTGGGAGGCTTAGCTCTTGCCAGTTCTGTCTTAGGCCTGGCTAGGCAGGTAGTGCTGGCAGCACTGCTCACTGCCCAAGAGCAAGAGCAAGCCTGTAGAGGCCTCTGAATACTCTGAGAGTTACAGTCCACAATTCATAAAAGATGCACCTATATATATTAAAGTTTCGTTTGAAGTCTCAAGGTAGGACTTTAGAAGCCCACCCTTGTCTCGTGGTTTGTGCAACATCCCATAACATATAACTGTGTGGGCCAGAGGCTACACAGCACACATGACAGAGTCTCAGAGTAGGAAGAGGATAAGCTGAGGTGAGGTCATAAAGTGACCTTTTGGTTCTTAGCTAAAGGTAGGAGGTGGCATTCTTTCTCATGCTGAGGAGTGAGGGAGTGAGATAAGCTCATCCTGGGTGTGGACCATAGGATCCTGGTGCTCTGCGCAGTCATGGTGTGCAGATGCAGGGCTGGCAGAAGCATTATCTCCTGTTGCAGAAAGGGCTGGGTTCTTGTGCTGTGAAGACTGGATAAGCTTGGGGACAGTGTTTGTCTGCAGACTGTTTTCAGACTAAATAATTAATAATTAAAAACCTGCAAATAGAAACAAGCTTAGCAGGAAACCTCTCTGGGTGCAGACCCTGGGTTTTGTCTTGAGATGCAGATTATAGAAGTAGGGACAGTCCCTTTTCTTCCCTCCTCTTAACAGACGTTAGTGTGTTTCCTTGTCTGCCCTCTTACTGTGAAGGATTCACCTGACTTTCCCCAGAGCTAGAAACTAAAAATGGACAGGTACATTTCTAATGTTCTCTGTTCTCCCAGTGTACTCTAGAGGTTTGTCCAGAAGTCCATCTGGTCCTCAGGGGACTCCTACTGGCAGCGCTCAGTGTCTCCACATCACAGAGCTTGGCTAGTTGGTAAAGAGGCTCCAGCTCAGTACAAAGTATTCAGAGGGAAAGCCCCAGGCTGGGGATTCAAAGTCAGATGTCTTGAGGATGTGGGTGACAGAGACACCTGAGCCGTGAGGGTTATCCTCATGTCCACAGCTAGCATTTAAGCCTGGCCTATATTGTCACACAAGTCTCTGATGTGCCTTTCCCTATAACTCTGGGTTTATACAATTTGCTAAAGGTTATCTTTCTCAGTGCCAGCCAGAGTAAGATTCTCTCAAGTACAAGGTTGTAATTTGTTTCCTTTTTTCTTTTTTCTTTCTTTTTTTTTTTTGTTTCCTTTCTTGCTGTACCCCAGGAACCTGAAATAGTACTTAGAGTTGCACCTAACAGATGGTTGTCACAGCATCACTGAGGTCCTTGGTAGAGCAGAATCAGCTGTGTTTGAAATGATAGGAGCCTTGGCATTTAATTCTGATTCCATGTTGTTCCAACAGCTACCCTGTGCTATACCCTAAATAAGAGAGCTCAAAAATAGGACCTATTATTTCTTCCCTTTATGACCATGAGTTAAGCTAATTGGAGGAGCCTGGCTAGTGTCTGCATGGGAATGACTCCATGCAAACACTGTAATCTTCTCCCCCTTGCCCTTCCCATCTGTGTGGATGCTGAGAGCTTATCACAATGCAGTATTTCCTTAGGTGGTTTTTCAAGCTTGGTTGTGAGCTTTCCATCCTAAAGAAGGTACAGCTCCGGAAACTGCACTCAGACATGCTTAGTTAGGGCCCATTTCTAGAAGAGGCCAAGAATGTTGACGGTCTCAGGGAGCCTGGGTCTGTGACCCACATCTTGACACTCATTAACCATCTAGTTTGTTCCTCCCCGAGGGCCTATAAACCACCGTTGCCCTCTAGACTCAGCCACAGCATGGTGCCCATCCCTACACCTATCCTCAGTGGTGCTGAGGTCCTGGGAGAAACAGATGTAGATGTTTGGGAGCCATGGTGTGCTTTGTATTGAACAGTCAGTGCTGCAGGGATCCTGGGGAGTCTCCTTCCCCCACTGCCCAGTCCCTGTTTGAAGGAAGAAAAGACTAGGTTTTGCTTTTGAAACTGTTGGCTAGAGTTCCTGGCAACCCTCTGGGGAAATTCAGAAGCATAGGGCTCTTTGTTTATTGCTGGAGGCTTCAGGGCAGAAGCTATAATAGTCCTCGGTAGCTGTATTGTACATGCTGAGAATCTCAGCACTTTGGAAGTAGAGGCAGGAGGCTACACAGCAAAACCCTGACTCAAAATAAGGAATGGCTATGGCAGTGCACACCTTTACTTCCAGCTCTTGGAAAACAGGCAGCAGTCTGAAATCAGCCAGGCTGCGTACAGACACCCTGTCTCAGAAAAAGAAGTGGAGGTGGGGAGAAGAGAGAAGTGTGTTTTGTCTGGCCTGGAGCAAGGACCTTGTCTCTCCCACAGTACCCAAACATTTCCACCTTTGTCCTGGGCAAGAACTCTTGCCACACCTTCTAGGGCTGCTGGCCTGCCCTATTCTTGGCCATTCCCATACTGGGAGCTGAGAATAGCAGCAGGGTGGGTAGTGATGGGAAAATATTTCTTGGCTGATCTTCTAGGTAGGAGGCTGCAAAAGAAACAAGATGGGGGAAAGGGCTAAAGAAATTCAGAGGTTAAGAGCACTGACTGCTCTTCCACGGGTCCTGAGTTCAATTCCCAGCAACTACATGGTGGCTCACAGCCATCTATAATGAGATCTGGTGCCCTCTTCTGGCATGGAGGCAGTATGTTGTATATATAAATCTTAAAAAAAGAAAGAAACCAAGTGATGTGTTCTGTGCACTTGTTTGAGAACTGAAGTTACCATGAAGCTTTAGGTTATGTTTCCTATATTGGATGAAGGAGGCTACCTGCCTGGTGTGCTTTGAGCTTGACTGGGTTGGGCCGGATGACAAGAAACTGCTTTCTCATGCAGAGTAAGGACACAGGGGCTTTGCCTAAGCAGTTGCTTTTCTTCCTTTGTGTCATTTGTATAACTGCAGCAATGTGATAACATACTTCTTGCCCACACTGCATATAGACCTGAAGACTATTGTCTGACCTTGGGTTCTCCTCTCTCTACTCATGAGTGCTTTGTATACCAGTGCAGACCTTGCATGGACATGGTGTGGTTGGTCAGGACAGCATTAGGTAGCAGACCGGTGGTCATGAGTACATGGGTACAGGGTGAGGAATCAGAGTGAAGATGGGACCAGGTGTCATGGGTCAGGGAATACCTCATTGAGAATGTGACAGTTGAGATTGAAGTAATGAGAGATTCATGTGGCATTTGGGAAGACGGTCCATGGTAAAATTTAGGTGCCAGGGTCCTGAGAATGGCTAAACTTGAGTGATGGGGCAGGAAATGAGAACAGGAAGTGTGTACAGAACACAGGGTTCTCTATGTTGGAAAATCCTGAATGGTACTGCCCAGGTAAAAGCTGTGAGGAAGGTGAACCAAGGTACCTTCTTGGGTACTGGTTGTCTGGGCAGCTCTGGCCTGGCGGTGCTGAAGAGATCTGGAGTTTGAATGTCACATAGGATTTATTGACGATTTGAAGTTCTGTATGAAATAAGTGAGTTGGGGACAGTGCTGTCATGTTGGACCTGAACATGTTGAAGCTGTACCTATGTGTCAGTCACTGAGAATGTGGAGTAAAAGGTTTGCTGTGATAGAATGCTGGGGCCAGGTCAGATAGTCTCTTGTATGTCCTCTGATTGACAGCTACACATGGACCTGTGGCACGCATACCACCAGCAAGGTATGTGAAGGTAGGTGCTTTGTTCTACTTACCAGTAACGTTCTGTGGGACTTGACAGCTTCCCTCTTCTGTCCATCTCTTCTCTTTGGAGATAGGTCCTATCCTGCCCAGCTATCAGGTGTTCAGGACAGGCCTTCTCACAGAGTGTGAGTCTGCTACATTGAATTTCCAGGTGAGACAGAAGAAGCCTCGTTAGCCTGGCAGGCTGATTGGATTATACATTATTCCAGGGAGGGAGGGAGAAAGAGAAACTCTGTGTGTGTGTGTGTGTGTGTGTGTGTGTGTGTGTGTGTGTGTGTGTGTGTGTGTGTGTGTGTGCGTGCGTATATTGTTCTTATGTATATTGAGATCTGAGGAGATGCTCTGTTATCCCTAAGATCTCCACCTGCATTTTCCTCTAGCCAGCCGGGCAGTTTGTGAGGCCAGCAACTAATAGTGGACTAACAAGCCCACTCTTCACAGCCTCTGCACATCTGGTGTGGTGCGGCTTCACATTAACAGCTGGCTGGAAGTGAGCTTCTGTTTGCCCCACAAGATCCACTATGCAGCTTCAAGTCTGATCCCTCCTGAGGCTATTGAGCGGAGCCTGAAAGCCATCCGGTGAGAGCCAGCCCCATCATGCCTTTCCTGTCAGCTGCTGCCTGCTACTTTACTGGTTACTTTGTTCTAGAAATTCTCTTCCTCCCACTACAGAAGTAGGCAGGTAGGGCTTTGCTGTTAGCAAAACCACATGACTTTACATCCAATTCTGCCCAGAAATGAGCCATCCTAGGTTTTTCCCGATCCTTCCCAGCTTAGTCTGTGTGAGTAGAACCTGCCAAGGGCCTCACCCAGCCTTCAGGGCAGCCTGGGGCTAAGCTGGGACTGTAGCAGATTGCCTTCATGGAACTGTACACTCAGTAATTACCAGCATTTCAGTCAGAAATCATGGGAACTCAAGTCCTTTCTTAGACTGACTGCCTGCAAGGAAAAGCTGGGCTGGAAATACAACTCAGTGGTGTAGTGCTTTCTAGGCCATGGGGTTCACTCTCAGCACTACAGAAAAGAAAAAAAGAGATGAAAAGAAGCCTGGGCAACATTCCTCAACACTGGAAATGACAGAAGCAGAACACTCATTGCCCAGTCCTCCTACCCTCCCACAGCTGTGCTCCAAGTCAAGTGGCCTTTCGTGCATATTTGTATAATTCTATTCATAGTTACTGGATATTTTGATTTTCTTATTTTAGAAAGATCTCCCTCTCCTTCCCTTCTTCCTTTCTTCCTTTCTCCCTCCCTCCCTCCCTCCCTCCCTCCCTGGCCTTCTCTTCCTCCCTCCTTCCCTCCCTCTTTCCTTCCTTCCTTCCTTCCTTCCTTTCTCTCTCTCTTTCTCTCTTTCTCTCTTTCTCTCTTTCTTTCTTTCTTTCTTTCTTTCTTTCTTTCTTTCTTTCTTTCTTTCTTTCTTTCTTTCTTTCTGTGTGTTATTGATTGAACTTAGGACTTTGCAAAGCTAGGCAAGTACTTTACCACTACATGCATACACATATATATATACATACATACACACATAACACACACACACACACACACACACACTTCTCCCTTCTCCCCTCATGAGACAGGGTATTTCTGTTTCCTGATTGTCTTGGAACTTATCATATAGATCAGGCTGGCCTTGAACCCGAAGATTTTATCTGCTTCTGCCTCCCAGGTGTTGGGAGTGAAGCCATGCAGCACCTTGCTCAGAATATCTAGCCAAATTGACAAACTTCAGGTCCTATTGCAAAATAAGGTGGAGAGCTGGGCATGATGGTGCATGCCCTTGATCCCAGCACTTGGGAGGCAGAGGTAGGAGGAGGATCACTAAGTCTGGGGTCAGTCTGGTCTACAGAGTGAGTTCCAGGACAACTAGGGCTAAGTAGAGAGAGCTTGTCTCAGAAATAAAATAAAACAAGGTTGAGGATATGAGCTGGTTCAGCAGGTAAAGGCACTCGCTTCTAGCGAGATGTGACCTTAGTACTGTCCATGGAACCCACATGGTAGAAGAGAACTGTATGTGTGTGCCTTACACGTATACAACGTAAATGTAAAAGAGAAAAGGTGGAGAGTGATGAAGACCTCTGATGCTGACTGTGGCCTCCATACTTACATGCATAGGCTCATGCACTGTTCCCCCATGTACAGCCTCTACATACACGCACGCACGCACTGGGAAAATGGGATGGAAAGTCAGGTGTTCAGACTCTTCCTAGTTTTCTTCTAATCCCTACCTCCTTCCCATCTCCCAGGGCAACAATAATCCTTGCAGAGTTTGTGAAAGCCCTGGACTGCTTTCTCTGATTTCTCCCTCAACCTCTCCTGCCCACAGTGCAGTGACTGTGACCTCTGGCTGTGCCTTGGTGTTCCAGGCACTTACCTGGCACAGGGCCTGTGGCCCTTCATGTTCTGCTGACATGTACCTCTGTCCTTCAGCCCCTACCATGCCTTGCTACTACTCAGTGATGAGAAGTCTCTGCTGGGTGAGCTTCCCATTGACTGCTCTCCGGCTCTGGTGCGGGTCATCAAGACCACATCTGCTGTGAAGAACCTGCAGCAGCTAGCCCAGGATGCTGACCTGGCCTTGCTGCAGGTAGGCTGGGCTGGGGACCTGGAGGAGTGGGAAGATGAGGGAGGCAGCCCATGGGGGAAAGTGCTAAATTCTGAGAGAAGCAGACTGCCTGCTGTGCTAAATGTTCAGGGCCCTTGTCTAGCACACAAGTCGCTACTACATGAGGCTTGGGGTTCTGGTGTCTGAATCTGCCTTTGTGAGCATTGGAATGACTTCATCTCTATTGAGCAGAGGTGAGACAGACCATGAGAGAAAGGAGAGAAGTGTCCCAGCAAAGGCCTGGAGGACAGGTGGGGCGCTGGTGGCACACGGCAAGCATGTGGGAGTGAGAACTTGGACCTGAGCTGCTGACTTGCCCTACTGTGTGTGCTTCTGTCCTTTGCACATTTCCAAACCAACCTCCCTCTCTCCCTCCTTCCATCCCTTCTTTCTTTTAATAAAATACATGTCTTTAATGATGAGACACGCAGAGATTCGGTCTTATTCTGAATCTAGAGATCTGTTAAGTCCAATCAAATGTTCAGAGAAAGCCTTCCATGTAAGACCAAGAATTCGATCTCTGATGTCTGCAGGACTAGTATCTAAGTGAGTTATTGGTTCACGTGTGTTCCTTTTGTTTCATTGCCCCCCATCACTTTTTTTTGTTCCCAACCCAGCCCCAGGGTCATCAAAATAGGCCATTCTCAAGGAGGAGGTGTGGCTGACAGCTGTAGAGACAGGCCCCAAGGCAGGTGGGACCCCTGTGCTCTTCACTCAGGGTAGCAGGAAAGGGACAGATTGGAGTGCTGGGTTCCATCTTCTTGTAGAACCCTGTTTGTGTCTGTGCTTAAAGTGTGGTGGAGGAAAAGCACAGAAGTAACTCACCAGGTTAACTATGCCAGGGTTGTGGGTGCCATCCAGGTGACAATGAATGCCAATATCCTGATCTGGTAGTGGTGTGCACCATGTGGCCACCAGGGGGCAGCAAAAGCCCACACTGGGACATCCGCTCAAAGGCTAGACTTCTCTGTGGGATGAAGTGGCCACATCTCTGAGACAGAGCCTTCTTGGATCCCTCCTGGCTCAGTGTGTACAAAGAAATGGGTTGGCATTACTGATAGTTTTGCTTTGTGGGCCTTATTGGACTGCTTTTCCCAAAACCTTTCTATTCTCAGAATAAGTTCGTCCCTTCTCTCTGTTTCTGGCTCTCCCTGTGAGAGCACTTAGCAGATCCTGCCTTTTATTTCTTCTTCTTCTTTTGTTTTATTTTTCAAGACAGGGTTTCTCTGTAGCTTTGGAGGCTGTCCTGGAACTAGCTCTTGTAGATCAGGCTGGTCTCGAACTCACAGAGATCCTCCTGCCTCTGCCTCCCGAGTCCTGGGATTAAAGGCGTGAGTCACCAATGCCTGGCCTGCCTTTGTATTTCAACTTGGCCTCCTAAGCTGGGTTTCCCTCTGTAGCATCTAAGACACAGAACTTTGAATATATTCATTGTCCTGAACATCCACAGAGAGGGGTGGTGCTGCTTTTGTAAAGAGATCGAGCTACATGTACATGGCTGGTGTTTGTTTTCACTTCCTACTTACAGTTTGAAAAGACTAAGAGGCTGTTTGATGGAGTCTGTTAGCACTGTGCCTGACCCCTCACTGTCACAGTCACTTTGATAAACCTTTGATGTCTCCTCCATTTCCTTGCCTTGGCCTTGTCTGGGATCAGGGAGGAGGGTGTTGCTTCCTTCCGCACTAACTCCCTGCCGAGCCTGATAGAAATAGGAGTTTGCTGCTGGTGTGCTTGTGTGAAGCCCTGTGAGTTCTAGCCCTGGTGGTTCACCTCACCATTTTCTGGGACTGCTGTTTCCTGTAGATGTCCCCGTGGGTACTGTGGCCCAAGGATGGTACTGGACCTTTGGGGGAATGTCTGCCTCAGGTGTGAATGTCACACATAAGATAATCACGCTGATGGGCCTTGTGGCACACGTGTAATCCTAGCCCTCAGGAGGCTGAGGTGGACGGATCTGAGTTCAAAGCTAGCCTGAGCTACAAAGCAAGACCTTGTCTTCAGAAAGCAAGACAAAACAAATTAGAAAAGCACTCATACCATATCAATCCAGAGAGCATAAACTTTGGGAGTTTTGTCTTTATAAAATTACTAATAAATGGGGTTGGGGAGGTGGCTCATTGTGTTCTTCTTTCGGAGGACCTGAGGTGGGTTCCCAGCACCCAGATCAGGCAGCCTGCCCAGAACTGCAATTTGAGGGGAATCTGATGTCTGGGGGCACCTGTACACACCTGTATAGACACACATAGACAAATAATTAATACAAATAAAGAAAAAGTATTAACTGAAAGCTCAGATATAATATAAATACAGGTTGGGAAGTCCCCCAATCCCTATTCCAGAGATAAACACTGAATATCCTGTCGGTATTTTAGTTGTTTGTTTGTTTGAGTCAGTGTCTTATTATATAGCTCTGGCTAGCCTAGAACACAGAGATCTGCTTGCCTCTGTCTCCTGAGTGCTGTTATTAAAGGTGTGTAACATCACTGCTCAGCCTGCCTTGACTGTTTTCAAGCTTGAAATTTTCCTGCCTCAGCCTCCTGACCTCTTGGGTGTGACATAATATTCAGTTCTCTTCAGGCTTTTAATGTATGTACACACATGGTTTTCGGCAGTACTAGAGATTGAACTGAGGGCTTCATGACCGCTTAGGCAAGCACTTTACTGCTGAGCTTCATAACAGTAGCAAAGTTACAGTTGGGAAGTAGCAAGGAAATCATTTTATGGTTGGGGTCAACACAACATGAGGTTTAAGAGCACTTTGCTTGAGTTTGGTTCTTAGCATCCATGTTGGGCAGTTTACAGTCTCCTGTAACTCCAACTCCAGAGGATCTGACAGTCTTTTCTGGCTTCTACAGGTACATTAGTACGAACACACACACACACACACACACACACACACACACACACACACACACATTTTAAAGAAGGGGGTTCACTGCAGAAGAGAAGGAGGTGATGTAAGAGTAGAGATTGGCTTGGTGAAGCTATAAGCCAAGGAATGCCAGTGACTGGAATAGACAAGGACAGATTCTTTGTTTGAACCCCCAAGGGAGCACAGATTTGCTGGCACCTTGGTTCTAGCCCTATCATGCTAATATTGGATTTTAGTTCCTAAAATGGTATTCTGGCTGCCTGGTGGAGAAATGTAGGGGTAGAGGGAGTGGAAATCACAGAGTTGGCAGAAATAGAGAAAGTGGACATGTCTTTGCCTGAGAGTTCATGTCACTGGCACTTGGGATAAGAACAAAGAGGGGCAACAGTGAGATAGCTGTTTCCTCCATGTTCGAGCTGGTTGTTGGCAGATGACCTGCCCTCAGCAATGTTACAGGCAGGAGCACTCACCACCATGGGCTCATCTGCTGAAAGGGGTCTTTGTGATCTAGGGAGAATGTCATGACTTGAGACACCTCATGAAGGGCTATGGTGCTGTGTTCTCAGGTCTGGCCACCCCTAGAAAGGATTTCTGGTATCTTTGTGTATTTCTTGGTATCTGAGAGCCTAGGAAGCAGGATGGTCTCTGGGGAAAGGAAGGTGCATAGGAATGAGTTGGGACTTTGAGTATGCGGGAGTGGATACAATGAGAGCCTCCATATTTCATTACTTTGGAGAATGGTGCTGGAGCTGTGGTCGACATGGGAACACTGTGCTTCTCCTGGAGCATCCAGCTCAGGCAGGCTGATCAGGTTCCCCAGCACTTCAGTTCCCTGTGTTCATGCACCTACTGCCTAGAAAAACAGTGGTACCAAGCAACACAGGGAACTCTGAATGTAGAAATAGTACTGTAGCTAGTCTGTCTCTGTCCTGCCTGCTAGCTCCCAAATAACCACATGGAGACTTCTTATTAATTATAAAAGCTTAAACTAAAGCTTAGCTTTTCCACTAGCTCTTTTTTTTCTTTCGAGACAGGGTTTCTCTGTATTGTTTTGGAGGCTGTCCTGGAACTCACTCTGTATACCAGGCTGGCCTCGAACTCACAGAGATCCACCTGCCTCTGCCTCAAGAGTTACCGCCACGTGGAGATGCCGGGGATCGAACCGGGGGCCTCATACATGCAAAGCATGCGCTCTACCACTGAGCTACATCCCCACTCGATCCACTAGCTCTTATAACTTAAATGAACCCATTTCTGTTCATCTACGTGTTGCTATGTGACTCATGGCATTTACCTGTTGTCTTGCTCTTTCTGGCTGGTGATTCCCTTCTTCCCAGCATCCTTTCTGCCCTGAAAATCCTGCCTAGCTATTGGCTACTTAGCTTTTTATTAAAGCAATCAGAGTGACACATACAGTGTACAAAATGATTTTTTCACAACACAGTGCTGGTGGTACTCACTGACCCAGAGGAGGGGTGATACAGTGCTGCTTTAGGTTGGAGGAGTTCCAGAGTGTATCTCTCTAGGCAGGAAGGCAATGGCTTCTAAGTTCAGTCTCTCCATCTCCCCTTGGTCTCCAGGTCTTCCAGCTCGCAGCTCACCTGGTATACTGGGGCAAAGCCGTCATCATCTACCCATTGTGTGAGAACAACGTCTATGTCCTATCTCCCAATGCCAGTGTGTGTCTGTGAGTACCATGGCTGCCAAAATCTATAGAGTCTAGAGCTAGAAAGAGCCCAGAAGGACCCTTTAGTGACACCCCCAGTGGCCAGGCACCAGAGGCTTTGAAGCCCCGAGGCCAGCTCTAACTGTATCCTGATGCTGCCCATGGTATGCTCAGGTGTAGATCCCAGTCTGGTTTGGTGTTGCCCATGTTAAGGCTATCTCTTCCTGGCTGAGATCAGAGGTTCTGTGGCTCCTGCCACATCTTGAGGGACAGTGCCTGCAACTCTGTCCATCTGAAGGGTCACCATACGTCATTCTGTTGTCATTATGCTCACCCAAATGGTTGCTGTGAGCCTGGATGACTGCACTGTGACCATGGTTGTCTGTCCTAGATACTCCCCACTGGCTGAGCAGTTCTCCCGACAGTTCCCGTCCCATGACCTGCCATCTATCCTGGCCAAGTTCTCCTTGCCTGTTTCTTTATCGGAGTTCAGGAGCCCTCTGGCTCCCCCTGCACAGGAGGTGAGTCACTAGAGCCCCTATGTGGCTTATGAGGTGGACTGGGTCTAACTGCCTTTCTGGTGGCTCCTGACTAAAAGGTTCTTAGCATTGTTGACATTTTTGCCTTGGTTTGCGGGGGGGAATTGTGGTTGAATACTTCAGGTTTCCTATGGTCCATGGGTATCCTCAGGTCTAGGACTGGGTTAAATTTGCCAGAAGGGTACTACTGGCTTTTATTAGGCTGACAGGATCCCCTTGTGCTGCCTCCTGGACCAGGGGCTTCTCACAGACAGAGGCTGCAGACAGCTTTGTTTTCACTAAGCCTGGGGCCTTGCTTTCCAAGACTGCTTAGTTCCTGTACTCCTTCCTCTGGGGGCTTAGGAACCGTGGGATCTTTGTATGGAATCTTAGGGCCTCTATGCCCAGAGTCCTTTCCTTAAGATCTACAGTACATCAAGCTAGGACTGTGTCTTGCCTTGTGGGCCTGGGTCAAGGCAGAGGATGGCAGTTGGGTACTGGTTGTGGTGGGGTGCTTCTGAAGGTGCAGTAAGCTACAGGGGTCAGTCACTTTTTACAGGCCCATGCTCAAGAGAGGGTGAAATGGTCTTGGAGCAGAGAGGCTTTGCTCCCTCCACTCTAGTAAGTGTTTTGAGCTCCAAGAGGGGATTTAGGGAGAGAGGACAGGTGTCTGAGACAAGCTGGGTGGGCTCCATGCTTTATCTTCAAAAGCAAAGTATTTGTTTTATTAGGTGCCAGATACACTGGGCAAAATCAGTCCTTAAAGTCAAATACTTCCCCTTCTCAAATTGTGAATGGGAATAAGATCCTAGGTTTTCAACTCATTTATATGCTGAGTGTGCCAGAGTTTAAAGCTGCCTTTCACAGAGCCCTTGGTTTCCAGGAACTGAGCCAGGGGGATGAAAGATACACTTTGCATCCCTCCTTCCTCTCCCCCAGGCAGTTCTTGGGGGAGGGCCTGGCAGCGCTCCCATCCCAGCAGAAACTTCCCAGTTGTCTGGATAACGGCTGATCTTCCAGGCTGTGTCTGAGCAGCTGTTTCAGGCCTTTTCAGGGGGCTGGGATGGAGCTGTTTGGTTTGCCACATCCCAGGGACATACTGTCTAGTACTTCTGAAGCTTTTGTGTTTTAGTTTTTACGTTTTATGTTTCAATAGCTTGAACTCCTATTGAAATTTATTTGGTTTTGACTGTGGTTGGTATGGGTATCTTCCTCCCCAGTAACCCAGCCCCCTTCCTTGAGTGACCTGAGCAGCAGCTCTTCTGGGCCTCCCAAAGATGAGGGCATTGGTATTGTCTACACATACCTTGCTGCTTGGTGTCTATGCCTGAGAGGTGCTTTTCCATTGGTGCTGGGTACCACTTGGCCAGTGCTTACAAGGCCTGAATGTGCGTTACCCAGGAAGTGGCTCCACACTAGAGCAGTAGGTCCCTTTCCCATTGCCTTCTGGAATCATCTGTTCTTGGAGCAGACTCATAGGGCAGTTGCTTCTCTGCCCAGCAGTGGACTGTCTAATGGCAGCAGATCTCAGTGGGCTGGAGTGAGGGAGGCAAGAACAGACCTGGTTGTAGGGAAAGTCAGTTCAGAGGAGGGAAGAAGCCCAGGTGTGTGATGGAAGCTAGTACAAATGTGGCCTGGGAATTTTGGGCCCCATTGCTTTCCCTGGGGTGAGCTGACCTTGCAGAGCTACCCTGCCGTTGAGGATCCCTTCTTCCAAATAGGAGGCCTTCCTGCTTAGGTATTGGGGTTGCTAAGGGCCAGGAACAAGATCAAGACTGCAGTCAGGTATCAGTCTACAATGTCTTACGCTGCTCACCTATAGACCCAGCTCATCCAGATGGTGGTGTGGATGCTGCAGCGCCGGCTCCTCATCCAGCTGCACACCTATGTTTGCCTAATGGCCTCACCCAGTGAAGAGGAGCCCCGACTTCGAGAGGATGATGTCCCCTTCACTGCCCGAGTCGGTGGCCGCAGCCTCAGCACACCAAATGCCCTAAGCTTCGGCTCCCCAAGTAGGATCCCCATCCAGGACACCTGTCTGGTAATGGGGGGCTGGGAGACTTTGGTGATGGCATCCAGGAAACCTGGGCACTGTTGGGATAAGAGGTGTCTTTACATGTCTGTACATTCACCTGCTTCTGTTCCTGCCTGTGGAGACCTCTTCCTCCTGTCCTCCTGTGCTGCCATGCATCTGAGGGGAGGCTTTGTCTGAGTGGCTGGCTGTAGTCAGCCACTGCAGCACAGTTAGACGTCTCCCAATCCAGCCTGTCCTCAGAGCAGGGCCTCATACTGTCATCACAGGGAACACAGCTGTCTGTTGTTAGGGTCCATGTGCTTTATCCCCATGTTGACTAAGGTGGGATAAGACACTGTGCCTGCCTTAGGATATAGTGGGCATGCAGCATTCTGGACCCTTGAAGTTATTCTTATGGGGCAGCTCCCTGTGTTCCAGGTTAGCCCCATTGGAGGTGGGGCAGCAGTGAACTCTTGCATGAAGGCTTATGGTACAGTTGGACACCAGAGGGGAGTGTGACAGTGACCTCAGGATCTGGATGCTGTCAGGGCCTTTGATGCTTCACACTTGACTGTTCCAACCTACAGCCAGCAGTGATGACATGACCCTTACCAGCCCCAGTATGGACAACTCCAGTGCAGAGCTGCTCCCCAGTGGGGACTCACCACTAAACAAGAGGATGACAGAGAACCTGCTTGCCAGCCTCTCAGAGCATGAGCGGGCTGCCATCCTTAGTGTACCTGCAGCCCAAAATCCTGAGGACCTCCGCATGTTTGCCAGGTAGGGAGCAGGTGACTGAGTGGGACATGGATAACTGTACAGGGAAGTGCTGGTATCCTTGTACAGCTACCTACTACCACAGCTCATGGTGGCTCTCCTCCTGGGATTGCTGTGTGAAGGGCAGGAGCTATTGTCCAGGTGTGGCTCTGGCCACGCCCCTGGATCTAGTGAGCTGTTTACTCAGTACTTCTGAGTGTTCCTTGTCACTGCTCGAGAGGCAGCTGCTCTCAAGTTCTGACCCACTGGGGGTTTGGCAGGAGTGTGTCCAGATTCTTGGCACTGGGGAAACTTAGGACCCTGTGTCATAGCTGCTTGATGTCTGTCATGTCCATCCTGACTTAAGTGTTGTACGGGCATGGTATGGTGGGAGGGGTCAGGTTGTTGGTGTTCAGTGTTTGAAGAATCACATTGCAGATTGCTAGAGGACCATTTGCAACTGGTCCAGGCTTTACCTGTTCCCTGGCTTTCTTTGTGCTGCACTCAACTGCAGAAAGCTCCCTGGAGCAGACTGAACCCAATGTCATGGGAGAACAGAAAGAGGCCTGTAATGGCATTCCTCCCTTCATCAGCGTGCATGCTGAGGTGGCTCTAGGTTTGCATAGCCGTGCCGCCGTGTCGCCGTGTGGACTCACTTCAGGACCACCACCACTCACTGGGTTTGGGACGCTTGGCCCAGCCCATAGCTCTTCACAAGCCTGCAGGCAGCTTACAGATCCACCCACCAATGACTGTTGGAGTCCTTGGTAGTACTGGCCTTGGGCTAGGCTCATGCCACCCTCTCTCCTCCAGGCTCCTTCACTATTTCCGTGGCCGCCACCATCTGGAGGAGATCATGTACAATGAGAACACACGGCGTTCCCAGCTGCTCACACTCTTTGACAAGTTCCGCAGTGTGCTGGTGGTGACCACCCATGAGGACCCTGTCATTGCTGTCTTCCAGGCACTGCTCACATGAGCCCAGGCAGCAAGCTAAGTGTGAATGGGAACTAGCCTACCCCCTCCCTGCCCCAGAGCTCCTGAGTCACCTTAGGAGGATAGGCAGTCCCAGCCTGGCAGAACTGGTTCTTGTTCCAGCTGTCTGTCTGATCAGAAACAGCTATAGGTAACCATTGCACTTTTTTGTTTTGAGACAGTCTTATGTAGCCCAGACCTCATACTTGCTATGTAGCCAAGGATGACTCTGAACTCCTGATCTTCCTGCCTCTGTCCATGTGTGCTAGGATTACAGACATATACCACCAACGTTACTTTAAAAAATATACGTATATTTATTTTTATTAATGGTTTTGTGTGTGTGGGTGCCCTCAGAGGTCAGAAGAAAGCATACCCTGGAGCTAGAGTTACAGAGGTTGTGAGCCGCTGGGAAAGGGAACTCAAGAAGAGCAGGAAGCTCTTCTAACCATTGCCATCTCTGCAGCCCCACCAGGCTTACTCTTCAGTCCAGTCCTCACAGCATCTTCACTGCTGAGCTGGAGAAGGCCTTCCAAGATGTGTCTCTAAAGTCCAAGTCCTACACACACAGTTTGTATCTTTCTGATCCCTTCCCCAGCCCTTCCCCTTATGCAGCTACCCTGGAGTGTCCAAAACACTTGTTTAACTCATTCCTGCTCCTAGGTGTATATATCCATACACTGACAATTCTCCCCTTTGGTGCCATACCTACTGGGTACACAGGTTTTCTGACCCAAATGAATAATTAACTGCATGCACACAAATTCTGGCTGAGACTTGGACAGTTCCCCACAAATAAGATATTTATTGTACTTTTAAACAATAAAAAAGCCCATCAGGTTGTTTGCTGAGGCTGATACATCTGTTCAGCCACTCTGTCTACCACACTGACCCATGGGCTGCCCTGGACATAGAAGCGCAGTGGCTTCTGGGTCCACTCCCCTGCATGACCAATGCCTATGCGAGCTGCTGCCACCACAGCTGGGCTACCTGTCTCAAGGCGGCCATGCTCCAGCCACACAGCCTCATCTTGGGTCAGGTCTCGTTGGTCAAAGCTCTTATCAATGGCCAGGGCCTGGCACAGCTTGGAGGGACCACTACAGAGCTCACGGTCCTTGAGGGTACGGCTGACAGTGCTTTTCCGGAGGGTGCTGCGAAGCTGCCGCATGGTGTCCAGGCCCTCCAGGGGCTCTAGTGCTCGTAACAGGACACAAGCCCCAGCCCCTGTGGGACAGACAGACAGCCTGGAAGTAAATTTCAGACCTGCACATACCCAGTGTTGCAGGGGTGCTGCTGTCTTCCTGCACATGTAAACTGGTATTCACTGCATTCAGATATCCAGACCCCTCTGCCCCCTCTTCCCTGTAGCATCAACTAGGCTGCTAAGCCTTCCCTAAGAACCTTGGGAAGCCTCTACCAAGTAAGACTGACAGTGACACTCTCACCACTGCTCTCCAAGCCAGAAATATGATCAACTAGTATGGGTGAGTCTTTGGCTTCCTCTAGTCTTGATTGGTAGTGGCTACAAGAATGGCATAGGAAGCCCCAGAGAGCCAGCACCTCTGGGGTAGAATGCCACTCTACTAGAAAATGGTAAGTCTCAAACCTAATTCAAATATGATATAGGTCAAGAAAACCTTGAATCCCTCCTCCCATGCTGTACCTAGCTCACCACCTGGGACTTTCCCTGCCATTTCAGGGAGAAGCGGGACACACAGTCCCTGTGAGTGCAGGGCATGTGATCCCTACTCTCGGCTCCCAGGGCCACTTAATCATCCCACGCTATCCTGGCTCCCTCTCATCTTCATGCAAACAGCATTGACCTCCACGTCCTTGCCTAACTCTGCTACACATCTGCTTTAAATTAGCTTCTGACCTCTGCTCTACTTGGCCTGAAACCCTCATCCTCTTCCAAACCCTCAGCATCCACACCTGGACAAGTATCAGTGATACCCATGTCCTTAGCCTCTATTCAACACGGATGACGACCCTCACCAGGACCATGTGCACCCTTGTGGGAATTTGCCCCCAACCTGGATGTTCTTGGGGGCGATTCAATTACAAGGTCACCCTTGCGTCTGCCTTGCTCACCATGCCCCAGGAACCAGCATTTTTTTTCTCCTTCAGAGACTGCAGCACTAACCATCTCTGGTTTTATTTCCTTAGTTCAGCCATATTAACAGGGTTGGTTCTGTCCAAGAAGGCTTGTCATCTTTCTCTCTTTTTAATTTAAAGAAAGAAAAAAGGGTGTACTGTTGTTTTGCCTGTATGTATATCTGCACCACTTATACACCTAGTGCTGATAGATGCTAGAAGAGGGCACTGGATCTCCTGGAACTGGAGTTATAGTTATGGTTGTGAACTGCCATGTGGGGGCTGGAAAGAAAACCCAGCTCCTCTGCAAGAGCATCCAATGCTCTTAACCACTGAGCTACCTCTCCAGCCTCTTGTGATCTTTTGATGCCTAGTCATCCATACCACCACTCAGGATGAGCTTTGTGGTAGGCACAGAGTCAGTCTTGTGGTCCACTCACCTCCAGTTCCCAAGTTCCCTGCACTGGACACCCTCAGCTTTCTGCTGTGGGCAGCCACAATTCCCTGCATCACAAGTACGTGTCCAACAAACCAAGAACATTGGTTGGTCACTTTGGGCCAGTGGTGGCTTTGGTAGGATGGTACGGTTCATCAGGCTCAGACCACTGAGAACACAAGGCTACATGGTGTCAGGACAGAGTTGGACCCCAGAGGAGACTCAGTTTCTCTCAGGAGCACTGCACTGACATCCCTTCACAAATGCTGTCTGGGGCCAGAAGGTCCTATGTGGTTATTGCACGTTTCTAGCAGCATCCCTGCCTTTACCTGCCAGATGCTAGCCCGTATTGATAACCAGATATGTCACCAAACATTGCCTGATGTCTCCTGAGGGAGCAGAAATGCTCCTGGATAAGAGTGAACCAGATCCTATAATAGGACTTTGGCAAGGTTCCTGTATGAGCCCAGCTTACCCCAAACTGTTTCTTGCTTTCCCTGGTTCCCATCCCCTGGTTCACTCCAAACCTAACCCAGAACCAAAACCATCATTCTGAACTCTCGTCATAGAAACGAACTGCTCTACATGCTGGTTGGCCCTGTAGCCTCTGCTGTGTCAAGAACAGCCAAAGCCCCTGAAATCCCAATTTAGCCCTCAGTGGCACCTCCCAACTCAAATGCCTGTCTACCTCAGTCTTCCAGAGTGTTGGCCAGCTGATAGCCTGCCTGTTTCCCCAAGCCCAGCACCACTAACCTTGACTGGAGACATTCAAGCAGAAGTACATGCCATAGATGATGTACACATACAGGGTCCCAGGTTTCATGAACATGCCACGGTTGCGGGGAGTCTGCCGGCCACCCCTTGAGTGAGCAGCTTCATCTTCTGGCCCCAAATATGCCTCAGTCTCCACAATGCGTCCACGGAGTTCTGTTCCATCAGCAAGTCGCCGGACAAGGACCTGTGGGCAGTGAGTCTGCTCAGACCATAGGGATGGAGGTCAACCCAGCTGGACAGTCCCCACCTAGATCTCTTTTAAGCTCAGGATGTACCAGGAACCCAAGTCCAGAGAGACCCAACTACCTGGTTCCTCCATTCTGCCTCTTCTTTTGCTCCTGCTCAGAGCCTGAATGCCAATATTAAGGTCACCAGCCCTTCTGGTGTTCTGAGTCACTTGGATTCACTGTGCAGGTTGACCTCAAAGTCCCCTCAGTGTTCTCTGCTGTCCCATATCCTCTTCCCACAGTTCCCTTGAGAGCCTTAAATATTCAGTGGCCCCATGGGGTCCCTACACATTTCCTGGCATATCCAGATTCTGTGATGTGCTTGTTAAGCTAGGCTAGCCACAAAGGATCTACACTCTCAGACTGCCCATTAGTGCTATGACCTTAATGAGAAACAGGCACCATGCAGTGCCTAGTCTGGTCCATGATCCCAAGAATGGCCAGAAGTCTTTTTTTTTTTTAAGATTTATTTATTTATTATGTATACAATGTTCTGCCTGCATGGATGCCTGCACACCAGAAGAGAGCACCAGATCTCATTCTAGATGGTTGTGAGCCACCATGTGGTTGCTGGGAATTGAACTCAGGACCTCTGGAAGAGCAGCCAGTGCTCTTAACCTCTGAGCCATCTCTCCAGCCCCGGGCTGCAGTCTTAACTAGGGCTCATGAAAGGATTTCGTCACCCACCCATGTCCACAGCACTTTACATCTTTATTTTTTTATTTTTTTAGGTTTTTTGAGACAGGGTTTCTCTGTATTGTTTTGGAGGCTGCTCTATAGACCAGGCTGGCCTCGAACTCACAGAGATCAGCCTGCCTCTGCCTCCCGAGTGCTGGGATTAAAGGCGTGTGCCACCAACGCCTGGCTTTATTTTTTTATTTTTATTTTTTGGTTTTTTGACTTAGGTTTGAGGGATTATTTGGTCAGAAGGCACCTTCATCTCCGTCCAGGCAGAACCATAGTGCCTCAGGGTTGATGTAATGGGTAGAGTGGAGGAAAAGAAGGGGCCAGTGCTTGTCTTGGAAGCCTAGAAATCCTTTCAGGAACCCAAAACACTGAAGACAGGGATGAATGTTTGGAAGGGGAGAAAGGTCAGGGAGTCTCCCTTCACTAACTATACTCGCATGCTCCCATGTCTCCAACTGGCACACTGAGAACCCCAGCTGAGCTGGAGGGAGCTCCCTGCACTTTTCTGGTGGAAGACCTGGGGAGGCAACATGATCCCCTGTATAGAGCAGTCTGCTGTCCTGGCAACTCACTGCAGTGAGCCTTTACTGAGCTTGTCACCCACACCAGGGTTTTCCTTGACCAAAGGAATGCACAGGCTAAAATACCCCTCTCCGTGCCAGACATCATCTTGTCTACCAATATGGGCTCAAGCAGGCATGACAGGGAGCCAGTTGACATATCCAGGATGCTGAACAGAGGCAGATGTATGGTGGTGGTGGACCATCCTTAGGCCCTTGACCTAAACTTGAGGTTTAAAAAACCCATGTTTGTCATAATCATAGATTCTGATTACTATGGGGATTTTAGAAGGAACACAGATCCTTGACAACAGAATTAAGTCTCTTCTCCACTAGGTCAGGGTCTGTTCCTGTTAACATGGAACTCTTAGCACCAGTTCTTCCATTAGAGAAACTGGCTGTCCTTGGCCATGCTACCCTAAAGGGAAGCTTCTTAAGAGAAAAAGGTGGGCCAGGGAACCTCCTAAAACCAGCTCTGGCACCTAGGAATAGTGGGTGCTGCAAATGAACCCGCCAGATCCATCATGTGCACTTTGGAAGGTGACAGGCTGTACTATAGGCCACACCAGGCTGGTCCTGGGGTAGTCCCAACTTCTCACTCCAAGCATGCCTGGCATAGCCCACATCCTGGACCTATACTGACGGAGCCATGTAATGAGACCAGCTCTTTCAAGTGATTCAGACACTGGCAACCTAACCTTGGCCCCAGCCATCAGGGAACAGGGTAGCTAAAAGTGTCCCTCAGAGATGCTGGGGCCAATACATAATACCATTATTGTCAGTGACCCTGCTACCTCCACAAGGAACACCCCTATCAATATATATATATATATACACACATATATATATATATTTTTTCAAGACAGGGTTTCTCTGTATAGCTTTGAAGCCTGTCCTGGAACCGGCTTTGTAGACCAGGCAGTTCTCATACTCACAAAGATCCGCCTGCCTCTGCCTCCTGAGTGCTGGGATTAAAGGCTTGTACCACCAACGCCTGGCCCTATCAATATTCTTATTCTTTGCAGTGATCCTAGACAATAACAGCCAAATTATCTGAGGCCAATGTGGACAAGACAGCTACCTATGTGAGCACAATGAGGCCGAATAAAGATGTGAACAAGCAGTGACAGGACACCTGCATGTATTTATATTACCTGTCCCAGAAATGCACGGGCCAGGGTGACCGCTGGCTGGTCAAAAAACTCTGGTCCCAGGCGGGCAGGGTGGTCCTCTGGACTGGAGAAGTAGATGCTCTGCTGGGGGCCCAGGGATGAGGGTGGCCTCTCCTTAGGGATCTGCTGCCACTGTGATTCTGCTAGTTGCTGTTTTTTTTGTCTGATCTTTCGGGAAAGCTGTAATAGGAAATAAAACAAAAGCAAATGTTTGCCTGCCTGCCTGTCTACATTTCTTTGTCTGCAAAGTGGGGTGCCCATTTTGTGGGTCATTCCAGAAACATAAACAGAAGGCTACAGCTAATACAGCCTCAGGGGACCTTGGAACATGGTGTGGGTAATAATGGGTTGTTAGTGGTGTCAGGGTGGGCGGCCATTCTCTGCCCACACCTGCTGCACATAGGAGAAACTTGGGTCAGAGGCAAAAGAAGGTAGGTGCCTGAGTCTGTTACACAAGGGCCAGCATTTTCTGCTTCCCATACGTAACACCATCTCCAAGGAAACTTGTTTCTTGAACCTGGCTCTTTGCTCCCAATCCTGGGAATTAAAAGACAGCCAGAATCCGGGCAGGGTCTAGCAGAGAAACAGACTGAGTTTTTCCTGTCATTGCCCAAAAGTATAGGTCACAAGGCCCCCTTAGTGTTGACCAAAGACCTGACACACAAGAGGGTGCCCATGGGTATGACCACCTGCCTGGTCCCATTAGTGCTCAGGGTGTAACTCTGCTGGCCCCCAACTGACCTGACTGCTTGGGTATGAGAATAACTAGGAACTGGGACAAAAAGTCTACGAGTCAGTAAGACATAGCAGGCCTTAATCTACCAAAAGCCGGGTAAACAAAGGAGGGAAATCTGACTACATCCTTCAGCTATTGTGGTACAACAGATGGAGGATGAAAGGGACAACTGGGCAGTGAACCTGGGGCCAGGGCCAAGACCTGTTCTCAGCCCAAGCTGGACTTCAGCTATAGCCATGGCTCCGTGGCTGGTTAATGAGCCAATCCTTTTTTAAGGTAAGGTCCCATGTAGACCACGCTGGCCTTGAACTCCCGATCCTCCTGCTTTCATCCACTTCCCAAGTACTGGAAATACAGACGTGCGCCACCACGCCCGGGTAAAACCCATTATTTTTATCTGTTGTGCTGACATCCAGGTTGGACCGAGGATGCCAGGCTGCCCGGAATGGATGCTGACGTGACCGTCTCTGCAGCCCGACCCACTGTGCCAGCTCGCCGTGGGCTCAGACTCCGCGACGCTGTGCCTCTCACCGGCGCTGGCATCTGGCCGGCCTCACGGCATCCGGTCACTCGGGATCCTGCTCTGGCACGCCCCGGGCGGCGGGCTCGTCCAGGAAATAGAGGCTGGCTGGTGTCGGGAGGCAAGCTCACAGACATCGATTTTAGAGTCCCTCTGCCGAGGCGCGTACACAGACCAGCCCCGCCACGGGCGCGCATCTAGCCTCCGACAGGATGCGCTGGACCGCCGGAAGCGCGTGAGGGCGGGGACAGAAGCCTGCGCCTGCGCAGAGCTCGCTGCTTGGGGGTGGAGCGAGGAGGCGGAGCGAAGAGCCTAATTTTACCACTCTGGCCGTAACCGACGTTTCCCCGTCCGGGTCTATCCTAGTGGCCCTACTGCTGTCAAGCCCCACCTCCCTGAACCTGGACTGAATTTTTGAGTGTCCGGGGCCGGAAGGCCTTGCTGGGACGGGCTGGGTCACAGCGGGTGTGGTTGGTGCTGTGGAAAACAAACATAAGGCCTTGGAACCTCAGCCCGAACTCTAGTCCTGGAACCTCAACCTTATGGTGGGGGAGGGGGCAAGGGGTGGAAATGGATGTCTGCCCCACCTGGAGGCGCCTGCCCTGGATCATCACAGCTGATACGAGGAAGGAAAGGGAATCCTGCCTGGGCAGTAGACCTCCCCACCCCCACCCCCGCCCGCCCAGGCCTGGTATCGCTGCGAAGAGGGCTCACCACTTAAGTTGAGCCAGCTTGTAGGGCAGGACCAAGGCTGCAGGGACCTGGGAATACCCATCTAACTGGATAACAGTTGCCCAGACAGCTGGGGAACCAGCTTAAGAGCCAACAGGGCCCCTGTGCTTGGAGGACTTTTGGGAGGCCTGGGCAGTCTACGGGGCCTCTTGCAGTGGAACTAGTATTTATTCCTAGTGCACGAACGGACTTTGGAAACCCACTCCCCTATGGAGGAATAATCTCTCATCCTAAATACACGGGGGGAGGGCCTAGGCCCTGCCTCCAAATGATGTGACAGACTTTGATGATCCTCCTAGGAAGGTCTCACTCTCCCTGGGGAGTGGATGGGGGGGGCGGGGCGGGGGTGTCGGTAGGGGGCATGGGAGGATGGGAGGGAGAGGGGAGTGGGATTGATATGTGAAATAAGATTGTTTCTAATTTAAATTTAAAAAGTTAGGGCTGGAGAGATGGCTCAGAGGTTAAGAGCACTGCATGTTCTTCCAGAGGTCCTGAGTTCAATTCCCAGCAACCACATGGTGGCTCACAACCATCTATAATGAGGTCTGATGCCTTCTCCTGGGGTACATGCATTTACACAGATAAAAAACTGTATGCATAATAAATAATTTTTAAAAAATTTAGAAAGTTAAAACAAAACAGTTGTCCTGCACCTCTTATGACTACCTCTCTGGGACCTAGGCCTGCTACCCACTCCATACCCTATCTGTAGCCTCTCAAATGAGATTGTGCACCGCTGGAGGAGAGTTGAGCCTCTATTGGGAAATGACTGGCCCAGAGGAAGGAATGGTCAAGGGAAGGGAGATCTTGGGACAGAGTCAGGTGCTCCATGATCTGGCTTACTGCATCGGCTCCGCGGCAGCTCCCACACCCAGCAGAGCCACTGTCTCACCCCTTCTACCATTGGTGGGGGGTCTGGGCCTGCAGGGTTTCTTGGCAGACACAATCCTACCCTGCCCATTCACACACTGCCCCTGCCTTGTCAAAACCCTTGAGGGTTTGTCAGAGATATGTTTGAATTCTTTGGCCCAGGCATGGAAGAGCACCTGGGTGTGGGAAGGAAAGACAGGACAGAGGGACAGACCACGTGTTTGTGGCCTGGAGGTGGAGAGTTCCCTTACTGCTCAGGGATCCTATCCACACAGTGTATCCCAAGGCTAGGCTGGTCCCCAACTGCTCCACTGGCCAGCTGAGGCTGGGGCTCAGCCATCCCCTCTCATGGGCCTCATCCAGGACTTCCTGGGGAGGGAGGGACAGTCTCTCTGCCAGCCTGCTGCCTGTTGGAAGTCATCCAGCTGTTTATGGCACTCTACCGTTTCCGGGGGGTGGGGTAGGGGCAATATGTTGTAAATTTGAACTAATGAGATTGGCCTGGATGTGGCTCCCACCCCCTTCCTCCTTATCCCCTCCATCCAAACAATGACTCTCCCTTCCTGTGGGAATAATGCCCCTTCCCAATCCTGGAGGGAAACTGAGACGCTAGTTGGATTCTTGTCCTCTGATAAAAAGGACAAGAGGAGAGCATTTTGGAGACTCCTAGAGAGCTATCTTGCCCCCATCTCTGGGTGAATGAGAAACTCCTCTGTTTGGTGGCCAGCCTGGCTTCTGCCTCAGGAGATGGGGGTGGTTGCCAGCATCCTATTCTCCAGATGTTCTGGCCTGACTGTGGGATTGCATTGCGCAATGTCTGCCCCCTCCTCCCCACTTCCTGGTTTGTGGTGTGAAGCTCCCACTACAGGCTGGAAGTGCAGGGTTGGGTTTCCCTGCTGTATTTTACCAGCAGGCTGGCTAGGAGTAAGGGAATGTCCAAGAGGAAGGCGCCTGGGATTTCTGTTCCCAGTGTATCTTACTGCTGGTTGGTGGCAAATATGCTCTTGGGAGATTCTTTGAAAAGGGTTAAGGTGGGGCTGACACTGATGTGAGCTGCTCTGGTCCTCCACAGGTGGTGGGAAGGTTGGGACTGCTTCTAGCAGGGGTGGTGTGGGTTGCCAGTCCTTGCTAGTTCTATAGGCTTCTGATGCCAGGCTTCAGTTTCACTGTTTCAGGGGCCCAACACCCTGGCTCAGGCTCCTTTCTAACATGGATAAAGCAGGAGCTGGGTTGGAGCCAGTTGGCTCCTCCTTTTGGAAAGTCGCACCCTTCCAGCAGCTTCTCAGCAGATTGGCTGCTGACATTCTGAGAGGCCTCAGTGGCTCTCTATAATGGGGGTGGGAGTGGGGGTGGGGCGGAACCTTGGGGGTTCCTTGAGCCGAAAGGGCAGCAAGTAGGCACACCAAGGGGAGGTATACTGTCAAGGCTGCTAGGCTCTTGACCCAGGAGCTTATAGGTAAGACCCTCTTGCCAAGTCTAGGACCATGGGAGAGGGAGCTGCCTCAGAAGTAGCTGGGGACTTCAGGCCTTTGGCTAGCCTGGCCTAGCCTTCTCCCCAAATAGCCAGGGTCCTGGATCCATCCCTATATCTTTTCTCTGTGTAGTGCCTGGAAGCTAAGCTGAAGGTTCAAGAAGCAGCTGCTGAGAGTTCCCTTACTGCTCAGGGATCCTATCCACACAGGTGCTGGGTAGAGGTAGTGTAGTTGCCTATTACCCGACACGTGTTCACCAGCTCCCAGAGTGTTAAGGAATTGTAACCGACTTCCTGTTCTGCCTAGCCCATGAAACTATAAGAGAAGCCAGGGGTGGGATTTTGAGTACTAGGCTCTTCCATCCGAAGCATAGGTCAATAGGGCAGGCAGGAGATACTGGGACTGGAGAGACTAGACACAGGCCACTCCTCTTGCCCTTACTCAGGAGGCCAGGGCAGGCTGTGTCTGGGGAATCCTGAGATCCCCCGTGTGCTGAGATGGGTATTTATCTACGGGGATCGTGCTCTTGGGAATGGCACCTGTGGATGTGGATGGAGATGGCACGGTTTGCAAGACAAGGCTACTGTAAGCTCCCTGGAGCGTGGGAGCAGCATAGCCTCTGGAGTAAGGAACCCTGGAAAGCTGTTTGCTTTTCTGTCACTGGGTGCAGGCAGCCTTCTCTGTGGAATGACTGCATTGAAGATGACTCCAGGGCTGGAGCAGTTAAGGGTGCCTGCTACTTGCTCCTGTGGAGGACTGGAGTTCGGTTCCCAGCACACACATCGGGCAGTTCCAGGGGGAATCTGATCCCCCTTCTGGCATCTGTAGGCACCTGCAACCACGTGCACAGAGACATAAATAAATAAAGACTAATTCTTCTTGTAAAAAAAAGATAGCTGGGCCTAGAGTAGGGTATGTCTTTCCTGCGAATCTCTTGTAGGGTTTCTTAAGGTTTCTAGGTCTCAGCATAGATCTGGGTGGACCCCTGAGTATCCATGGCAGCAGGAGAGACCTACAGACACCAGATGCCCAGCTCTGGATGGTTCCCTATTTTCCAGATAGGACACCACCCAAACTAGCCCAGACTGGGCATCCAGACGCTGCTTATTCCTAGCAGAGGTCAAGAATGCTAGGTATGGAGACTGTCCCCATCTCTGGCCTGGCATGTGTGGGTTACAGGAGCCCAGAACATCTGCATCAGGACAGCCCCCTTCTCCCTCAGCTGCAGCCTCAGCCGAGGGTAAAGAGACACGTTGTATCCAGCTTACAGAGGAACGAGTTTCTGCACCAGAGGTGATGGTTGAGCACAGAGGCAGAGGGAAGAGAAGGGTGGATGTACAAAATGCTGCTGTCACTCTGCACAATGGCTTAAGGGGTGGCAGGTGCAGTCTGGCCCTTGTACCTGCTGGGAAAGAAGTAGGGGAAGGGGTAATTGCTGAGCTAGGGTTCCTGTGACACTATCAGTGTATGAGTGTTAGTGTGCACGTGTGTAAATGCATTAGGGTTAGACTATGAGCCCATGAAAGTGCATCTGGAGTGCACGTGTGCGCACGTGTCTGGTAAACAAGTGTGTGAGGGGTTGAATGCAGGAGTGTTTACTATGAAGGATCAGGAGTGTGGAAGTGAGGGCTTCCGGAGCCTTAGTGGTTTACCAGTGCGCGCCTTCCAAAGGGGCGTCCAATCTGGCCTTTAGGTCCCTCCCACCTCCACACTCTTGCTCTCCGGAGTTCCTTTCCCTCCCTTCCCAAGCACAGTTAGGGGCAGCAAAAGCGGAAGGCCAACAACCTAGTAGTCAGGAAAGGAGAGCCCAGGACCGACGTTGATCATCGCCATCACCAGCAAGCCCGACTCCCAGTTACAGGTGTCTCTGGGGAACGCCTGGCAGAGCGCAGCCGGCGGTCTTCCCGGAGGAGGCGCCCGGGGCGGGCGGCGGGCGGTGCGCATTCCTCAGCCCTGAGTCAGGCGGCCGCCCCTCTGCCGGGCCCGCCCCCGGCGCGCACGCCCCTCGGTCCGTGGCATTCCCAGGCGGACGGGCCGGGCCAGCGCGCGGGCGGCGCAGGCAGGGACTAGGCGCGGGCGCCCTCCCGGCCGGCGGCGGCAGCCGGTGCAGACCCCTTCGAGAACCCCGCGGCGGTGAGTGGCGGCCGGGTTCTTTGCGCGGGGCTCAGGGCGGGCGGGTGCAGGGCTTGCGTTCTGGCGCAAGTGTCCGTCGATCGCTGCCAGACCGGTGCGCAGAGTTTCCCGAGCGCCCGCGGAGGCGGCGCGGCCCGGATTCCAGCCCGGCGCCCCACAGAAATAGCCCGTGGTCAGATCGGCGCGGCCTGGCGGGCGGGGCAGACGGGCACCGACCCCATCGGGTCCTTGGGGCCGGAGGTCCAAGGGCCGCAGCCGCCCCGAGTGGCGCCTCGACTGCCAGCCCCTCCCCCCATGCCTTCCTAGTCCCTGGCCCCGCAAAGGTGGCATCTCAAACTCTGCGCAGAGCGCGCGACTTCGGGCCACCGGGTCCGCGTCCACCCCGCTCACGGGAGTAACAGCAGTTGCTGCGGGCTGAAGAGCTCGGCTGGGCCTGCTCGGCCCGTTTCAGCCCGGTTCGCATCAGCAAACCCGGGAACTGCCTCCAAAGACAGCTCCCTCCCCGTGTAGTGGTCCCGAAGGTGAGCCCGAGGCTACAGTCGGGTTCTTGAAGTAGGCCTGGGTGCTGTAGGGTGACCGCGGACCCTAGGTGCTCAGGGATAGGCAAGAGGGCCTGTCTGTCCTGCTGGGAGCATGCTTGTAGAGCTGGGTGGAGAATGGCCAGGGGACTCCCCCTAGGCTTTCTTTCCGCTCAGTTTGTCCGGATCAGAGTTCCTGCACCGTGTGCCTCTTGGGGTAGTGTGTCTGTCTGCGTGGGCGGGGCCTGGATCTGGAGTCCCCTCTCCCTGCTCTATCCTGGGAAAGCCCCCCCTCCCCACTTCCTGTTGAAGCAAGGAGAAGATTCTAGGATGAAACTGGCTTTTCAGGTTTAGACCAGCTAGAAGCCGGGGCAGTCCCAGGCTAGGTGATCCCCACCTCCACGGGGCGAGCCTCAGCCCCTTGCCCCCGCCCTTAAGCCTGGAGAATTCTGGGGAACTCAGCAGCTGGCCGGTTCTCAAGAGGCTCCAGAAACAGTCCTCTGCTACCAGGGTCACTCTGGGCAAGCTGGGACCTTTACTTAGAGATCTGCTAAGAGGGCAAATGTGTCGGGTAGGACTAGACTGAAGGCTTAGGTTCTGGCACCCTCCTCGGACCTCCAAGTCTACTTGGGTGAGCCAGCTCTAGCTCCGCTGGGGAGCTGGTGTGGTGAGTGGCACTGGTTTGGGTTTCCAGTTAAAGGACCACCAGAGCCCATTCATCCCTCTGCGCGCACTGTCTGTCCTCAAGGTACCCTTCCCAGAATGTGAAGAGCTCCCTCCCCTTGGTGTCACAGGATCAGATTCTCTGCCTTCTGACCATTTTTTTTTAGTTTGTCGTGTTTAGGGGTGACTCCCCTTTCCCTCACCCGAAGATGGGGTCATCCGGAGAATTACAGCAGTCTCCCTCAGCCCCAGATGTTATGAGGCCGCTGGCTCCCTCCCAGTTCCCTGGCAGACCTGGCCGAGGTGCTGAACTCCCTTGAGGCCCCATGACCTCAGGCTGTGAACTGCCTCTCTGAGTTAATCTGTAAAATGGACAAAAGTGACTCCTTCCTGCCATAGGTTATACTGTAAAGGGTCTGTCTGAGCAGGTGTCTTAGGCTTTTGATGACTGAAGCTGTTGTTGCAGATTCAGTTTACCCCCCCCCCATCTTGTCTTGCTTCTTGTGGTTCCTGGGAGGGGTTTCTGCTTTGTAGGATGTCAGGAGTCAGAGCAGTTCTGGGGATCTCTGTGCCTTCTTCCTCCATTCAGACACCTAGCTGGACTGAAGAGTGGGACCAGAGGTGTCCATCTTAATGGGCACTAATCCAGAGTCTAATTTACAGCTCACTTCTTACTCAAGCCCCTTCATGACTGGCTGGCTTGCACAGGTCCCCTTTTCCCTCTGAGCCCCAGCTGGATCAAGGATTTTGGCTGGCAATCAGAGACCCCTGGGCTATGTGTGCCTTTGAGCCATGGCTGGTGCCTCTCCCCAGGGATGGCCCCTCTCCTCCCATGTGCCCCACCATCATCCCTTGGTCCCTCGAGTCCCAGGGCTTCCTGCACCCCTAGGGCCTAAGAGCTTCCCACAGACTGCAGCAGAGAATCCCTTGCTCTGCTGCCCTTTCTGTCTATGCTTCCCTAAGATGATGGCAGGTGATGGGGAGGGGGCAAAATCTAGCGTGTCCTGGAGATGAGGGAGGGCACTGCGAAGGCCTGCCCTGCCCCGTGCTGAAAACGGAGGAGGCAGAGTGGAGGTCACAGAGTTCCACAGAGGGTCCAACAAGCACTATGATGGATGCCATTTACAGATAGGCACAGAGAGGCAGGGGAGTCTCAGTAGCATGGTGCACAGAGGCTGTAGGAAGCTGTTTAGGCTGGGTATTAGATTAGAGAGAAGACAGGTTTCAAGTGTGCGGCGGTTGTGGCCTACGCGGAGGATGCAGTTTCCCACCAGCATCCTGTGTCACCCTGTCTTGAGTGTCTTTATGGCCGCACCTTCTTCCCATACTCTTCCTTTGCAGCGAGCATCCTCAGGCTCCTCTCACACCTGTAGCGCCCCCCTGCAGCCTTGCTATTTTGTTTTTGTTTGTTTGTTTGAGACAGGGTTTCATGATGTAGCCTGGACTGGCTTCAAACTCGGAGTCTTCCTTCCTGAGCTGGGTGCTGGAGATTACAGGTGTATAACACCGTACCCCTCTGCACCTCAGCTTTGACTGCCTTCTTCCCGCTCAGGCAGCCACCCCTTCCTGTTGATTCAGCTGCTACTTGCTGAGTGCCTACTGTGTGCCAGGCACTTGCGTCACCCCTTTGCAGATGAGAAAATGGAGGCTTGCTAGGTGTGGTGGTGCACATCTGTAATCTCAGCAGGTTACTTAGGGAGTAGAGGCGGGAGAGTCAGTTCGAGGCCGGCATGGGGTGCATGAGTCCCTGTCTCAAAAATCAAGAAAAGTCCAGGCGTGCGCATGCTTGTAAGTGGTGGGGACAATGGTGTGGGTATAGACTTTTGACTCATGTTGCTCTACCTGCCTTCTGGCTTCCTGGCTGTAACTGTACTGATGAACAGGAGTAGCCGGAAGGGTCCCCAGTTGTCCTACAGCAAGATAGACCCCTATCTCCTCCACAACCTCCCTCCTAATTGCCACACGGTGTCCACAGGCAATTGGAGAGGCTTCTGTAGCTCCCTGGTCCACCCTGCCCCTCACCCTCAACTGGAATCTAGCTCCAGCTGCTTGGAGCCCTGACAAGGCTCCCCTGCCCGACTCGACTCCATCCCACCTCCAGCACTTCCTACTTACTCTAGATCCCTTTTGGGCGGCTCCTTATGCTTCTGGGGTGACTCATGGTGTGTGACCCCAGGCAGTCAGCCTCTCCATGGGCCATGGTTTCCCACTGCACTGAGGCCAGCAGAGGAGAGAGAAAGGGCTGTCAGGGAACAAGAGCCCACTGTGTGCCTGGGGGAGATCTAGACACTGAGCCACTGTGGGCCAGCAGTGTGCTGCTCCTTGGCCTAGACTCTTTGTCTGGCCTGGTATGCTCCTCCCCCAGGCCTTGTGAATCCCACTAGCTTGAGGCTCTGTTAGTAGCAGCATAGGGTGGGGCAAGTTGGGAGCTCAGCACTAGGGCAGGGTGGGTGTCCTTTCCCCAAACTGCAAGCCTAGAGTTGTGTGTGTAGGTTTGTGTTTTCAGAGGCTGGAGGACAACTTCTTTGTGGATTAATTCCACCCCCCCCCTTTTTTTTTGTGGTTTCTGTGTATTGAACTCAGGCTTGCATACCAAGAACTTTTACCTGAGCTGTCTGGAAGGCCTGCTTGTGTGATAGGTTTAGGGTCTTAGGATTCTAGGAGCTTTCCCCAACCTGTCCCTGTCTAGTAACTTCATGGCCTTTTTTGGCAATTGGTGCCACCTGGTGGTCATTCCTCATGGTTTCTGCTCCAAGGGGTTTTTGTTTTGTTTTTAGACATGGTCTCACTGTGTAGCCCTGGCAGGCCTTGAACTCACAGAGATCTGCTGTCTCTTTAGTACTGAGATTACCCAGCACCAAGGAAAAAAAATTTTTTTTGTTTTTTGAAACAGCATTTCTTTGTGGCTTTGGAGGCTGTCCTGGAACTAGCACTTGTAGACCAGGCTGGTCTCGAACCCATAGAGATCCACCTGCCTCTGCCTCCAGAGAGATGGGATTAAAGGCGTGCGCCACCAACGCCCGGCTCCAAGGGACTTCTCTTTGTAAAGCCCTTTGTACACAGGAGTCTGGTGCCCTGGCTGTTGCTCTGAAGCCCCAGGAAGTCGTCTCTTTCTCTAAACGTGGGGAGCCTTCGTTGTGTGGGAAGTAGAAGTCGTGGTGGCTGAGATGGCCTGGGACAGACGGGCTAGTGTGCTCTGTGCTCACAGACTTTGCCCTGCTGCTCCACGTGTGCACAGCTCCACGTGCTGTCTGTGCGGTTTTCACCCACTAACCCCTGCCAAGCACCTGTAATTTGTTTTGTGCCCAACACACCAAGCATTTATAAGGCTATTGTTACCCAGGCTTTAAGTTCAAGAGGGTGGGAGCCCTCTACCGGTGTGTGCCAAGCATCTGGTCTTGCTCATAGCAGGTGCAGTGTTGGGGGGCCTGTCCGTGGTGCGATCAGGCACAGAGCATGCCAGCATGTAGCAGGAGCTGTGAGCACCTCTGTTGGGCTTGCACTGATTCCTCTGGGCTTGGGTCTGTGGTGTCCTTGGAGACTTGCCAGGGCTGTCACTCAACATAACCTCCCGCCCCAGGCCTGTCTCACTGCCTCCGGAGCCATGACTGAGGCCCGAAGAGACAGTACTAGCAGTCTGCAACGCAAGAAGCCCCCGTGGCTCAAGCTGGACATCCCGGCTGTGGCGCCCCCAGCAGCAGAAGAGCCTAGCTTTCTGCAGGTAGGTTCTGGCCGGGGCGGGTCTTGCGAATTCCCTCGCCAGGCTCCTCACCATGACTCGATTTGTAGCCCCCGCGGCGGCAGGCTTTCTTGCGGAGTGTGAGTGTGCCAGCTGAGACGGCGCGCGTCCCATCACCCCGCCATGAGCCTCGACGGCCGGTGTTACAGCGCCAGACGTCTATCACACAGACCATCCGCAGGTACCACACAGTCCTGGCTGCTCCACAGGCTGGGGCTAGGGTGGAGGCCTAGAGGCAGTCAGCAGAGATCCTCTTTAGGAGCTGGGGATGGGGATGGGGCAAAGGTCCCTTCCCTCCCAGCTTTCTCCTCCATCTTAACCCCGGCGCCACTGCATCGTCCACCTGTTCTGGGGACCTATGGCTGGCACTCCGTTTGTGTTCCCCGGGCATGCACTCTCACCCTAATAGCCTGGCCCCTCGCAGCCGACAGGTCCGCTTTGGGCGTGTCCACACTCTGCCTCTCCTGGGGCCCCGGGCCGCTTGCAAGGCCCTTCCACAGCGCCAGTCTCTCTCTTGGTCCTTGCTCAGGTACCTCATGCCGGTCTCGAGTTTGTCGGCGTTTTCTGGCACGTGCATGTTATGTAGCCTCTCGGAGCTGTTGGAGTGCTTGACTTGACATTCCCTGACTGTTCGAGGCAGGGGCTGGCTGTGTTTTTATTTGCATGTCCAAAGACCATGACTACCCTATAGCTCCTGCTGCTGAGTTCTGTAGTGCCTGGTGGGGTGGTGGCTGCTTGAGGCCAAGGTCTCCCTCTGGGCTCAGGACTGGGTGAGGGCCTATGGGAACCTTCTGCTGACAGGCATGCAGAATGCTTTAGTGGGAACGGGGCGGGGGGGGGGTGGCCAGGGTTGGAACACTCTTGTCCTTATAATTAGATGTTGTCAACTAGACCCAGTCCTCGGAATGACTGGAGACCTACCCACGGGCTTAGCCTTTGAGGCTCCCTGTCTGGGGTAGGGGGACAGGAGATATGGCTTCCCCTTGCTGAGTCCTTCCCATGCTAGGGGGACAGCAGACTGGTTTGGAGTGAGCAAGGACAGTGACAGCACCCAGAAGTGGCAGCGCAAGAGCATCCGACACTGCAGCCAGCGGTATGGGAAGCTGAAGCCTCAGGTCATTCGGGAGCTGGACCTACCCAGCCAGGACAACGTGTCGCTGACCAGCACTGAGACGCCACCTCCGCTCTATGTGGGGACATGCCAGCTGGGCATGCAGAAGGTACGCTGCTGCCTCCTCCTGCTGGCTCCTCATTCTGCTCCTCTAGCTGGTGGGGAAAGGGTGGGAGGGAGAGTACTCCTCCAAGCCTGTAGATGGGATAGCAGCCACAGTCTTGGGCTCCTGAGATACTCCCAGGAGGGGGAAAAGAGTCCTCAGGTGGTACCAGTTCAGGTTCAGGGTAGCAAATGTCAGGGGGAGAGGGACCCTCTAAGTGTCGTGGATGAGAGTGAGGCTTAGTGGGTAGGGGGCATTTGTGCTCCTCATGGAAGGCTTGCCTGGGTTTGTACACTGGTCTAACATCTTTGACTCCCCCAGATCATAGACCCTCTGGCCCGTGGCCGGGCCTTCCGCATGGCTGACGACACTGCTGATGGCCTGAGTGCTCCCCATACTCCTGTCACACCCGGTGCCGCCTCCCTCTGCTCCTTCTCCAGCTCCCGCTCAGGCTTTAATCGGCTCCCTAGGCGGCGCAAACGTGAATCAGTGGCCAAGATGAGCTTCCGGGCCGCTGCAGCACTGGTGAAGGCAAGTGTAGGGGACCAAGGCTGGAGGTGTGGGGGCTAAGCCCACTTCCACTTCCAGGTCCTCTAAGGTCACCTTCTTATCCTCAGGGTCGATCTATTAGGGATGGCACTTTACGAAGGGGACAGCGTCGAAGCTTTACTCCTGCCAGCTTCCTGGAGGAAGACATGGTGGACTTCCCTGATGAGTTGGATACATCTTTCTTCGCCCGGGTAAGAAGAGCCTGGGGTGTCGCCCCATCTCCTCTGTCTCTGGATCCACCCTGACCTCACATACTTGCTCAGGAAGGTGTCCTACATGAGGAGCTGTCCACATACCCAGATGAGGTGTTTGAGTCCCCATCAGAGGCAGCACTCAAGGACTGGGAGAAAGCCCCAGAGCAGGCCGACCTCACGGGTGGGGCCCTGGACCGCAGTGAGCTTGAGCGAAGCCACTTGATGCTGTGAGTACAGGCAGTGGGGGAGGGGTGCAGAGGGAATGTCTGCCTCATTGGGAGCAGCTGGGCCCTCGGGTGCGATGCTGCAGTAGTCATAGCTTGAGCTGACTAGGGAACTGAGAATATAGCCTTACCACTGTGGGTATGCCGACCCAGGCATAGGCACAACCTTAGACTTTGATGCCCAACTACATAAATTCCAGAGCCCAGGGGCTAGAGTCTGTATGGGAGGAAGATCAAGGCCTAGTAAACACTGTTGAGATGTAGAGCCTCAGTCTTGGCTCCCAATTCTCTCCCTGCCAGAGGCTTGCTGTAAGGAGGAGAAGGAAGAGGGATGACTTGTTGGGTGTCTCCACCCCTGGGAGGGCAGCAGAGGCATGGAGCAACGTTCTGGTTCTGCCCAAGAGGGAAGGCAGTTGTAGTTTCTAGGCCGGAAGTGAACATGCTGGTTCCCTCCAGGCCCCTGGAGCGAGGCTGGCGGAAGCAGAAGGAGGGCAGCATGTTAGCCCCTCAGCCCAAGGTGCGGCTTCGCCAGGAGGTGGTCAGTGCGGCTGGACCCAGGAGGGGTCAGCGCATCGCTGTGCCAGTACGCAAGCTCTTCGCCCGGGAAAAGCGACCCTATGGTTTGGGGATGGTGGGAAGGCTCACCAACCGCACCTACCGGAAACGTATTGACAGCTATGTCAAGCGGCAGATCGAGGACATGGATGACCACAGGTAGGCTGTGTTGGGATGGAGGCTGGGCTGGGGTTAGGAACCCAAGTCAGGGATGCTCCTCATACCTCTGTCCCACAGGCCTTTCTTCACTTACTGGCTCACCTTCGTGCACTCGCTGGTCACCATTCTGGCTGTGTGTATCTATGGTATTGCGCCTGTGGGCTTCTCGCAGCATGAGACGGTGGACTCGGTGAGCCCAGGAACTCTTCCTGTACCCACATAACTGGAGTCCAGGCTCTAGACCCAGAGACTGGCTCTGGGAGGATGGAGCCCTTCAGACTTGAGCTGATCTCACTCCCTACCTTCCAGGTACTTCGGAAGCGTGGTGTCTATGAGAATGTCAAATACGTTCAGCAAGAGAACTTCTGGATCGGCCCCAGCTCGGTGAGGACAGGGCTGGAGGCGAGCTTGGAGGTGGCCCATCAGTCCTGGGCCCGAGGCCATAGCTGCTGTCTCCCTCTTCACAGGAGGCCCTCATCCACCTGGGTGCCAAGTTTTCACCCTGTATGCGCCAGGACCCACAGGTGCACAGCTTCATCCTTGCTGCCCGGGAGCGTGAAAAGCACTCAGCTTGCTGTGTACGCAATGACCGGTCTGGCTGTGTGCAGACTTCAAAGGAGGAGTGCTCGGTGGGTGTCCTGTGCTGTCCACTCCTACTTCCAGACTCAGGCCCCACAGCACTCTGTACTCTGCTTTTGGTAGTGTGTGGAGCCTCACTAGACCCCTCTCATCCTCGCACTTCACTCAGTTCCTGTGCAAGATGCTCATTTGACTTTAATTTGGCCTTGGTTTTGGCTGCTCTTTCAGCACCTGTTTGCATTAGATCTTAAGTGGGTATTGCCCTATTTGATGGTGCGTGCCTGCAAGTGCATTAGTTTAGACGCTGAAGCAGGATGGTTAAGTTCCAGGCCAGCCTGGACTATACTCCATGGTCTCAAAAGAAAACAAAACAAAGCTGGGCGTTGGTGGCGCACGCCTTTAATCCCAGCATTCGGGAGGCAGAGGCAGGCGGATCTCTGTGAGTTCAAGGCCAGCCTGGTCTACAGAGCGAGTTCTAGGACAGCCTCCAAAACATTACAGAAAAACCCTGCTTCGAAAAACAACAAAACAAAACAAACAAACAAAAAGAAAGAAAACAAAACAAAATGCAAAAGACTCACCCAAACTTTGACATCATACATAGCTGATGCCATTTCCCTACTTCAGGGCAGACGATGTCTCTATGCCTCTACTATGCCCTTGGGTACTTTGTAATACTCCCCTATGGGGTTTCTGGGGTTTTAACCTAACAGCTGTGTGGAGGCAGGAGGCACTCACGGGGCTTTGCCTTTGATTCCTGACTGAGCCAGGACACTGCTCTGAACTGAACAGAGCATGGGATCTGACTAGGGCTGGCCCTGTGTCCCCACAGTCTACGTTGGCAGTATGGGTGAAGTGGCCCACTCATCCCAGTGCCCCAGACCTTGCAGGCAACAAGAGGCAGTTTGGTTCTGTCTGCCATCAGGACCCCAGGTGAGCACCATTGATTACCCTCTTCAAATACCGTTGGCTATGTCTGAGGGGTGGGGAGGATTCCTTGTTTTGGGCAGAAGGGTGACATTACCATGGGCCAACTGCTTTAACCATGTGGGCTCATGCAGGGTATGTGACGAGCCTTCCTCTGAGGACCCTCATGAGTGGCCAGAAGATATCACCAAGTGGCCGGTGAGCTGGGGTCTCATACTTGTCAAGTGGGGGAGGAGGCCACACCGTAGCATTAATGGTGCCGTAGTCTCTCATTGTTGGGTCACTCGCATCTTCACACTGCCTTTGTCCAGCCTGTCCAACAAGGCTTGCCTCTGAGCAAGAGGACTGGGTGAAGACTTCAGAGGCCAAATAGTATTATTCTGGTTTGCATGTGGCTCAGCTCAGGCTCTGGGTGTTATCTGCTTGAATCAAGGGAGGCCTGGCTTCTATCTGAGTCTTGTCTTTGTCTCAAGTCTCCAATAAGGGTATGAGGCCAGGAGTTGGGTGTGTGTGGTAATGACCCCCACTCACCTGTCTTTCTTTCTTACCTAGATCTGCACCAAAAACAGTGCTGGGAACCACACTAACCACCCTCATATGGACTGTGTCATCACAGGCCGGCCCTGCTGCATCGGCACCAAAGGCAGGTGAGTGTGCATGTGTGGCTGGCTGGGGGCAGCAGTGAAGCTTGCAGCAACCTGTTCCGGCACAGGGAGTAAGACCAGGCCAGTGAAGGTGGGCGGGGCTGAAGGTGCCTGTAGACTTCAGCGGCCTCCATCTACAAGGCTAGGCACCCTCCAAACCCTGGCATGACCCCCTAGGTGTGAGATCACTTCCCGGGAGTACTGTGACTTCATGAGGGGCTACTTCCATGAGGAGGCCACACTCTGCTCTCAGGTAGGCCTCGAGGGCTTGTGTGTGTGTGTGTGTGTGTGTGTGTCCGCCATTGTGGAGGCTGACTGGCCACTTTGCACAGGTGCATTGCATGGACGACGTCTGTGGTCTCCTGCCTTTCCTCAATCCTGAGGTGCCTGACCAGTTCTACCGCCTGTGGCTGTCCCTCTTCCTGCACGCTGGGCAAGTGGGACTGGGGGCTGGGCAGTGGCCTCATTACCCAGGAGTGGTGGGCTGGGGGTGGAAGAGAAGCCAGCTTCCTGCTGAGTGCCCCTCACTGCCTACAGGATCCTGCATTGTTTGGTATCCGTCTGCTTCCAGATGACAGTCCTGCGGGACCTGGAGAAGCTGGCAGGCTGGCACCGCATAGCCATCATTTACCTGCTGAGTGGTGTCACGGGCAACCTAGCCAGTGCCATCTTCCTGCCATACCGGGCAGAGGTAAGGTGGCTACCCAGGGTGGGGCCCCTCCATGTGTGCCTATGGCTTGGTGTGACATCATCTGTGTTGAGACGAAGTGTGCTCTGAGAGCTGGGATGGCAAGATGAGGGCCTGGGCTTCCAGGGTGGGGGTGGGGAGATGCTGCAGCCTCGCTAGCTTACAGCCTCTGACCCCCAACATCAGGTAGGTCCGGCCGGCTCACAGTTTGGTATCTTGGCCTGCCTCTTTGTGGAGCTGTTCCAGAGCTGGCAGATCCTGGCTCGACCCTGGCGTGCCTTCTTCAAGCTCTTGGCCGTGGTGCTCTTCCTCTTTGCCTTTGGCCTGCTGCCCTGGATCGACAACTTCGCCCACATCTCAGGGTTCATCAGCGGCCTCTTCCTTTCCTTTGCCTTCTTGCCTTACATCAGCTTTGGCAAGTTTGACCTGTACCGCAAGCGTTGCCAGATCATCATCTTCCAGGCAGTCTTCCTGGGCCTGCTGGCTGGCCTGGTGGTACTCTTCTACGTTTACCCAGTCCGCTGTGAATGGTGCGAGTTTCTCACCTGCATCCCTTTCACCGACAAGTTCTGTGAGAAGTACGAACTGGATGCTCAGCTCCACTGAAGCAGCCGCGGGCACCCACAACACCCAGCTCCTGGGGCTGAGGAGACGGTGCTCCCGAACACGGACCTCTGTGCCTTGCTCTCTCCCGTTGAGCCCTTCTGCTGCTGGGCACTTATTACATGAGTTCCCATGATAACCTTCTAGCTAGTCCCCCGACGACCACTTCATGTGGCCAATAAATGGACTGGGAGCGTTTTAGCTGCCACTAACTTGACCAGGGTGTTTCTTTTCCTGATTTCTGGCTGGGGATGTGGGAGAGGCCAGAGACCTCGGACATAAAATTCCCAATGTCAGTGGTTCTCAAGCTGCGGGTTGCGACCCCTCCGTCAGACCTCTATCTCCAAAAATATTTGTATTACGATTCATAACAGTAGCCAAAATTACAGTTTTGAAGTAGCAATGAAAGTAATTGTATGCTTGGGGGGGTCACCACAACATGAGGAACTGTATTAAAGGGTCGCAGCATTAGGAAGATGAGAACCACTGCCCTAAGTCAGAGACATCACTGGCTGTCATCTCTCTGTGAAGTCTCGTAGTGGGGCTAGTAGCCAGTGTTGGGACATGGGCCTAGGGGAGTACAGGCATATCCACAGTGGGGACGTCTTGCACCCTTGTAACTCATTCCTCACCATGCTGTCTCGTCACTGAGCGGCAGAAAATGGCTGCAGGAAACCCGCCACCTGCTAGCTCCTACCACAGGCCCTGAGATGCGGGCTCCTGTTTGCTCCCAGGAGAAACAAAGCTAACTTCTCAGCTTGTATCATCACTCAGTGCCATGAGGCCATGGCAAGAGGTGAGCAGCGTGGTTCCAGAGCCTAGGTGTGGCCTCTGAGACTTTGGCGCTTCCCAGTGCCAGTGTCTGCCCTCACCTCCCTCCAGTGTGGGCCAGATCCAGCTCACCCACACAGTGGCTTTCTGATTTATCCAGATACAAAGCAAACAGGTTTATTTTGTAGGCCAGGCACACAACCATATAGGATCTTCAGGCAGAGTTCATAGGAAATCGAGGGACAGAGGAACTTTCCATGTTCGAGGATTCCAGGGCTCCCGCTGACAGCTCCACCCAGGCAATCCAGGGATGCAGCTACCCCAACTCCCTTTCCTGTGGGACAAGGGAATGGTGCCATCTTGCTGAAGGGTTGGGTCACTCTGTCTGGGGTTTACTTCTGTCTAAGCTTCTTGATGAAGGAAACCTCATCTCGATTCCGGATGCCATAACTGAAAAAGACAGAAAGGTACAGTGCCCGCCCCACAGAAGGATCACCCGGGCTTATGAGGGATCAGGAACAGTCGGGTGACAACGGCCATACCTTTTCCCCCCTCCACACCTGGTTTCCTTCATGCAGCCCCAGGCTGCTGTGAGAACTGCAGGGCTATTTCCCTGCTCTGCATTAAGTGGGAGGCCCCACAGAAATGCCCATAGGACAGTCAGTCCAGCCAGGGACCTTCCTATCACAGTCCTTTGGTGGGACACAGGCACCGATGGACCACAGGCCTACAGCTCATGGTGTGGACTAGACTTACTCTCTGAGCTTCTTCCTGTCCTCTGTGAGCTTCTCTCCAGCTGAGGTCAGATGGTAGGTCCGCCACACATATGACCTGCAAAGAAGGGACTTGCGTGGTGCGCATGCTACCCCCAGGAGGGTGAACCAAACAGCTGGGATGATAGAGGCTTGCAGCACACAGCTTATGGCACCCAGGACAGACAGAGTCCCCTTCTGGACATTTTCCCTACGTGGTGTATATGGTAGGCCCAAGGCAGTTGCAGAAGGTACCGAACGCATCTTGCTAAGGAAACGGGTGACAATACTGAGAGTCAGTTAACAGGATACTTGATCCAACAGCACCTAGGCGAGGAGGGAAGGGGAAAACTGACAGGTACACAACCTACAACTAGGCAGGCATTAAGGTGACAGGAGTTTCCACGTGAAGATGTCCAGCAGTGTGGGTAGGGTGACATCAGAGAAAGCGTATTTTAGAAAGGACAACTGGGGAGGGACCCTCAGGCACAGAATTACCCAACCTGAAAGCTCTCACGACAGGGCATCGCCACAGCATCACTACTTGGTAGAGGAGCATTGGTGGTCCACACAGGAGGAGCTCAAAGTTGCCCCCCTGCAGTATCCCACACAACCCCAGGGGTGACCCAGAGAAGGCACTGTCGCCTCACTCACCAGCTGATGTGCTGGATGCCCCCTTCCCTCTCCTGCTTGAGCTGCATGTATCTCTGGATAGCCTTCTTCAGGTCCAAGACCGTGGCATTCTGCACGACGACCACAGCTGCAACCATGGACACATGGGAGAAGACAGATCCATACGAGAATCCACACTCAGAGCCCCAGGGCTCTGCCCTGTTGGGCAGGGTGGCTGTGTGGCTGTCCCAACACACCCAGGCACGGGCCCAGTTTCTCACAGACCAGCTCTGCTAGTACCTCGAAGCTGTGAAAGCTCAGGCTCAAAGAGAGAAGGGTGGTTGTGGCTTGAATGGGCGACTGCCCCATAGGCTCCTACTATATTTCAATGTGTGATCCTCAGTGGAGCTGTTTGGGAAGGGTTAGGAGGTGTGCGCTTGTTAGAGGAGGTGTGTCGGGGGGGGGGGTGTGAGCTTTGATATTTCAATGGCCCACACCATTGTAGTTAGCTGTCTCATGCCTGTGGGCTAGAATGCAAGCTCTCAGTTACTGCTCCAGGACCACGCCTGCCTGCCTGCCGCCACGCTCCCTGCCATGATGGTACTGTAACTGTACCCTCTGCAACTGTAAGCCCCATGAACATTTTCTTTCAGAAGTTGCCTTGGTTGCAATGTTTCTTTACAGCAAGACAAAAGTAACTAAAACAATGGTACTTACGCATTACCTCTCCATCCATCTTGCACACTCGGACTGTCATGGCTTGGCCATATTCCAGCGCAATCTGAGAGTTGACCTCTTCCAGAGTGACCTAGGAAAAACCAAAGGGAGGTGGAGATGCTGATTCATAACACCCCAACAATAACAACAAGAACCAAGCTGACAGTGCCCCAAAGTGGTACCTTGCACTATGAACAGCATGCTATGGTTAGGATTTTCTATTTAAAAAGTCCCCGAAGGGAGCAAAAGAACAGGCCTGGAAACAGAGCTGCACGAAGTTAGGACCCTGGGCCTGACAATTCTGAGAGTCCTGCATCAAGCAGTGTGGTAGGACTAGGTTGAGGCAGGGCAAGGGTGCAAACTTACCAGCTACCGAAACCCAGTGATGACAAAATAGTTTTTGTTTGTTTGTTTTGAGGCAGAGGCTCACTATGTTACCCAGGCTGTTCTAAAGCTCTAAGTGTGTCAGGCTGGCTTCGAACTCATAGAGATCCACCTCCCAAGTGGTGGAATTAAGGGTGTGTGCTGCCATCACCGCCTGGTAATGGCAGATGTTTTAATAAAACAGCAAGGGAAGTAAAAGTTGAGACCGTGGTGTAACTCCGTGGTAGAGCACTTGTTTAGCATTTGAAAGGCTCCAAGTTTGATCCCCGGTTCTGTGCGCACACAAAAGTTAAATTAAAACACCCTTGGCGGACAAAAATTATATTAATCACTTTGCCTACGCATATTGATGCTTGAGGCAAATGGAAAAGACCAGTCACACTGCTCGTGAGTTAAAATCTTAGTATTTGTTTAATCCTAACTTTTCACGCCTGCGAGGAAGAGTTTTGGGGTTCTCTCACCCCAAACTTTCCGCTTATGCACAGAAGCGTCTTCCGCTGGTGGGACCACGGGTGCCCATCCAGAGCCCTGTCGCGCACCTGGATCGGAAGGTCGCAGAGCAGCGGGTCTTGCACGACCATGGCGAGACCTTCTTGGAACACGTCCACGGCCTCGGAATGTGGCAATGCCTCCTCATCATCCTCATCGTCCTCAGGCACTTCCGGCCGATCCGCAGGCTCCGGGTCTTCCAGGGTTGCCAGCTACCGGTAGAGTCTCGCTTTTCCGTCGCTCCTTCAGCCGGCCCTGCCTTCCAGCGCGTGCGCAGTGACTGCGCCACGCCCCCGGCGAGGCAGTTGGGTCATTGGTGTTCTGTGTGGCTTCAGTGACCAATGAGACGTGCGAGACCGCTGGTTAGGCCGGGAGCACACAGACAGCAGGCTATTGGTCAGATAGGGCGGGTCACGTGCGTTGTGCCGGCAGCGCGGGAGCTACGTGCTGTCAGTCGTGTCCTTGGTTGTGCAACTCGATCGGGTCCACTGTTTTTCTGCCTGGGCTGGTGGTCAGGGAGGGCCAGTACTGTCATCGCTCCGCCCAAGACACCTGCTTCTCCACCCCTGCCCCGCCCCGTCCCGCCCCCGCCCCCGCCCCCGCCAGCACAGCATCACTCACAAAGCGACGCTAGCAAGTGGGTGCCTCCTGCTGCTCAGGGTCAGCCGTTGCTACCCCCGTGTCTTTGCCCCCTGCCAGGTCTCAGTCACTCAGGGATTCTGCCTCGGGGTCCATTCCAAAAAGTGGTCAGAAAGGTCCTAGTGGGATTGAGCTGGGCGTGGTAGCGCACACCTTTAGTCCAATCAGTTCGGAGGCAGAGGCAGGCAGAACTCTTGAGTTCTAGGCCAGCCTGGTCTACAAAGCTAGTTCTAGGACACGCAGGGCTACACACCACCGTCTCTGGTCTCCAGTCTTGGTGTTCTTTTTTTTTTTTTTTTGAGACAGGTTTTTTCTGTATTGCTTTGGAGTCTGGCCTGGAACTCTCTCTGTAGACCAGGTTAACCTCGAACTCACAGAGATCCACCTGCCTCTGCCTCCCGAGTGCTGGGATTAAAGGTGTGTGCCAAACCGGGTGGTGGTGGCACACGCCTTTAATCCCAGCACTCGGGAGGCAGAGGCAATCGGATCTCTGTGAATTGGAGGCCGGGCTGGACCGACAGCCTCCAAAACAATACAGAGAAACCCTGTCTCGTAAAAACAAAAACAACAACAACAAAAAACCCCCCAAAAAACAAAAAACAATGTGGCTCCATTTTTATCACGTGTGTATGGGTGCTTTGCATTTATTTCTTCTAAACACTATGTGTGTGCAATGCCCACAGATGTCAGAAGAGGGTGTCAGATCCACTAGGGCTGGAGCTACAGACGTTTAGGAACCATCAAGTGGATCCTGGAAATTGAACCTGGGTCCCCTGGGTAAGCTAACTGCTGAGCAATCTCTCCGTGTACTTTTTTTGTTTGTTTTTTTTTGTTTTTGTTTTTGTTTTTGTTTTTCAAGACAGGGTTTCTCTGTATCTTTGTAGACTGTCCTGGAACTAGCTCTTGTAGACCAGGTTGGTCTTGAACTCACAGAGAGCCGCCTGCCTCTGCCTCCCGAGTGCTGGGATTAAAGGCGTGTGCCACCTCTGTCTAGCTAAAAGGCAGTGTTTAAGGGGCTCTGGCCTACTTTGAGGGAAGGATAGTGTGTGTGTGTGGTTGTGCTGGGATAATTACATTAGGCAGAATTGTGACCTTGTCTTCACTTGGAAATTAAACATGATGTAAAGATATGTGTTTGGGTGTCAGTAGACGAGAGGTGGACTTGTAATGATTAATATTGGTGGTCAGCTTAACAGAGAATCACCTGTGACACAGTCTCTGCTTTATCTGTGAGGTATTACTTAGATTAGGTCACCCTTGGGCATGCCTGTGGTGGATTTTCTTAAATCTGATACCTTAACTACTTGGCCTTTCTGGTATCTGGGATTTTCTTGGTTACATTAATTGAAATGCTAAGACTTACCTGGAATGTGAGCCTCACCTTCCGGTGGCAGCTTAGATATTAATATAAAGTGGTTTGAGGGGAAAAAGTTTGCTTTTTACATAATAATTCCATTATGTATTAGGCAATGAACGGTAGAAAAGGAAATGGAGAGACGACACTGATCCATCTGGTTAACCAGCTGAGAGCCCAAGTGACTTTGCTCATTCTCCTAAGTAGTGAGGTTTCAAGGAGGACCAAACTAACGATAATAATAATAATTCATAAAAACTGTAACAAATGTGGTACTCACAGAAGGCTTATAGCAAAACTCCAGAAGATCTATTTTAGTTAGTGCTTCATGTAATATGATTTATTCCCTTTACCACAACTCATTCCTTCTTATTTTTGGAACAGGGTCTCATATAGCCTAAGCTGGTCTTGAACTCACTCTGTAGAGCCTCCTGACTAGCTAGCTCCCAAGTGCTGGGGTTACAGGCATGAGTCACCATGACCTGCTCACTGTCTTCAGGGTGGCTTTTCTAGCTCTGGTTTTGTTTTTTTTCTTTTTCTTTTGTATATCTAATAATCTTGTGTGAGTCTAAAAAACAAAAACAACTGTGCTTGGAGACTGGAGAGATGGCTCAGCGGTTAAGAGCCCTAACTGCTTTTTCAGAGAACTCTGGTTTGATTCCCAGCCCCCACATGGTGGCTCACAACCAGGGATCCAACTTCTTTTGATTGACCTCCGAGGACACCAGGCATACATGTGGCGCAGAGACATATATGCAGGCAACCATCTGTACACATAAAACAAAAACAAAACAAACAAAAAACCCACTGAAGTCTAGTGTGGTGGTACACACCTTTCATCTCAGCACTCAGGAGGCAGAGGCAGGTGGATTGCTATCAGTTTGAGGCCAGACTGCTTCCAATAATGAGTTCCAGGACAGCCAGAGTCACATAATAGAGTTTTTGTCTCAAAAAAACAAGTAAAAATAAAAAATAGCCAGGGAGTGGTGGCACACACCTTTAAACCAGCACTTGGGAGGCAGAGGCAGGCAGATCTCTGTGAGTTTGAGGTCAGCCTGGTTTACAGAGTGAGTTCCAGGACACCTAGGACTGTTACACAGAGAAACCCTGTCTCAAAAGATTAAAAAAAGAAAGAAAGAAAAGAAAAACAAACCAAAAACTAAATAAAAATTTCAGCTGGGTGTTGGTGGCGAATGCCTTTAATCCCAGCACTTGGGAGGCAGAGACAGGCAGATCTCTGTGAGTTCGAGACCAGCCTGGTCTACAGAGTGAGTTCCAGGACAGCCTCCAAAACAATACAGAGAAATCCTGTCTTGAAAAAACAAAAAAACAAACAAATTTTACAAGTTTCTGTTCACACAGACATCTGTGAGGGAGAGAGGTAATGATCTCCATTGCAAAAGCCCTGTTGTACTGTTTACTTTGTTATACTACTTTTCTTTCTGTTTGTGTTAAAAAAACTTATCTGCCTGCTTGCATGTCTGTCTGTCTGTCTATTTATCTATCTACCTACCTACCTATTGCTTTTCGAGACAGTGTTTCTCTGTGTATCTCTGGCTGACCTGGAATTTCTGTGTAGACCAAGCTGGCCTCGAACTCACAGAGATCCCCTTTCCGCTGCCTCCTGAGTGCTGGAATTAAAGGTGTGCCCCACCAGCCAACGTACTTGCTTGTTTTTCTTGACTGAGTTGTTACTTACGTTTAACGCTGACACTCACTGCTAGTGCTGTGTCTCAGAAAAACCTCGAAGGGGAAAAACCTAGAAGGGGTTCTGCCGAAACTCTGCTCTGGACCACGTCCTTGCTGTCTGTGCTGTTCCTGTCGGGGTTCCTGGGAGGACAGTGTACATTCCGTCAGTCAGAAGACAAACGTCTACCGTCTCTGTTTGGCAATGCTCAGTGTCATGGGGTGAAATCGTATCCCCCCTCACCGTTCTCCGGCTTGCAACAGATGGTGACAGGCACCTCCCAGCTCCATGGAGGCCAGTAACTCTGTGATGTGCTTGTGGTTTCAGATGTGGGTGGCCCGTGTCTGCCTGCTGAGACTTATCTCCTGGATCAGGTAAGGGGCTTTGCAGTTCACATAGGACAGTTGGCAGTAAGTCACCTCCTGGCTGTGTTGCCTGTGAGGCTCTATGGCCCTGAGAGGATGCACCTCAGAAGGTGAGTCTGTGTTTAGGGCTCCCCTCTTCTCAAATCACATCACCCTGGTGATGTGAACGACACCCTTGTTGGACCTTGTCTACTGCACTGGCCTTGAACATCTCCCGGAGATGGCATCTTTGCAGATATAATTATGAAATGACAAACTACAATATTCAGGGCTGAAGCAGTGGTGGGGTGATGTCAGTGTGTCCATGCCCTGAAGGACCGAGGGAAGGACAGGAGGTATGGCTTATTATGCAGGAAGCTTGGCTTTCTCAAAGTTTCTTTGATTGAGCTGGGTTTTTGGAGGGACAAAACCTGACAGCCTGGGTCCAGGGTTGGTAAGGTCCTCTCAACCCCCAGATATTTTAAAAGCTTCATGGTAGAAGAGGATATAGAGGCAGAGAATGTGACTGGAATTGCAGAAGGGTAGCTTTGTGGGGTTGGGAGCAGGGACAGGAGGGAGTGTATGGATGAGGAGCAGTCTCTGTTTCCAGGCTACTGGGTGTTGGGAGGCTGCTTTGCTGGGACTTTCCCTTTCTTTCCTAACTTGATCTTCCTAGGACACTGATGCCCTGGGTTTACACTTGGCCAGGGCTCAGCCTCCTACGAGTAAACTACAACCCATGATTCCCACTCTGGTGAAAAGTCCGGGATAGCCCCAGGAGCAGGGGGGCTTTGGCAGAGGGCACTTTTGTTAAGGAGCTGGGCTGGTGCACTATCAGGGCCTCTCTGTAAGATGCCCATCTGGCTTAGTTAGCTTTGCCTGCAGGTGGCTTCGGGGAGGCCCCTGCTGGTGAGGGCATAGGAGGCACTTCCTCACGAAGGCAGTGGGAGTACCGTTTCCTCCCACCCGCCCACCCTTCCAGTGTGCAGTATCAGTACATCTGCTTGAGCCCTGCCTGTAGCCAGGACCTCTTGCTCGGGTGCTGAGTGATGCAACTGGCTGAACCTGGGTGCAGTTGTCCCATCAGGCAATGGAGTGAGGCTGGAAGGCGGGCAAGTGTTTTCGGATGGGTAAAGAAGCCCGTCGGAGGGACAGAGTAAGAATGCCAAGAGGAGCTCCCTGGCCACCTCCCCCCCCAGCTTCCCTGTGCAATTCAGAGCCCCGCCCTTCTCTTCCCTGGTACACCTACCGCTTCTCCATCCAGCGTCATGTGAGTCCAGCCAAGTGTGCCTGGGATATCTGGCCCACCAGTTGTCCTTCCTGCAGGAAGTATGTGGGAAGGTGCTTCTGGGGGCTCTCTTCTTTGCCTGGACATCTCTGCTCCTTCCGGCCTGTCACCTTTGGTCCTCACCCAGTTGGTCTGCTGGCCCTGTCCTTCCAGCTCTTACCATCCCTACCCCATCAGCATTATCAGTGTGCTTACACACCCTGTGCGCAGCAGGCCCTGGGATCCCCCCACCACCGGTGATAAAGGGGGTCCTCACACTCTGTGAGTTTTCCAAAGAGGAAGCTGGATCCCGTGCCCACCACCAGCCCCATTTCCTGACACAGCTTCCATATGCCACAGACTCCTGCTGCTGCTGGAGCGCAGGGTGTCTCCCTCCAGAGAGAAGAGAAGACACTCCTGGACAAGGTTCACCTGAAGAGCGGGCACCTTCCATCCTCCTCCATTTCTGTTGGGCTTTGTGGGTGGGCAGGAGAATAGGGAGTTCCCCACCCCTGCTAAGACAGAAAGCAGGGCCTGGGGATGTAACTCAGTTGGTAGTGCATGCTTAACATGCACAAGGCCCTGGGTTCAATACCCAGGACTGGGAGAAAGGAAAAGAAGAGATGGACAGATGACTCAGCAGTTAAGGACACTTGCTGCTGGCTGGGTGGTGGTGATACACAGCACTCAGGAGGCAGAGGTAGGCACACACACACACACACACACACACACACACACACACACACACACACACGCACACGCACACACACACACACAGAGCAGGGCTTGACTGTATCTCCTTGTAGAGTACTTACCCAGCCCTGTTCTTGACCACAAGTGTATTGTTGTTGTTATGTATTATCAATGTCTTTTTGAGACAGACTCTAGTTCTGTAACCCTGCCCAGCTGGTTGAACTGGGATTCAAGGTAATCCTCCTGCCTTGACCTCCTATACACTGGGATTACAGGCCTGTACAAGTGTGCCTGGCTACAGCATGGTATGTGCATATCTTTTATTTATTTATAAATGTATTTATTCTTAGAGCATGCATTGTATGTATGTCTGTGTGAGGGTGTTGGAGCCCCTAGAATTGGAGTTACAGACAGCTGTGACTGCCGTGTGGGTTATATAGCTCTGTGCAGCAGTCGGCAGAGGGAATAACTCATTTGAAGTGAAGCTGCCTTGTTGCATGTGCCATACAGGACCAAGTAAGCCCTGTGCCACTTGCTAGTAGCCCTGTGTCCATGTTGGTAGCTAACTCTGGTCGGGGAGGGTGAGAGGCAGGGCCTGTATAGAGATCCTCCTCTGTGTGTCAAAGACACGGGCCAGTTTTCAGGGCAATATATCTTCCATTGTACCACAGAAAATCAGGGTATGGAGGCCAACAGGGCTGGATGTAAATCTCGGAACATAGAAGAGGTGGGACTCTAGTCCAGTCTAATGAGTCTAGATCATGTCAAGTTGACATAAAATTAACCAGGATAGACCCTGCCTCGAAATAAAAGGTAAAAAAGAGGACCTGGAATGCAACTCAGTGGTAGACTATTAAAGTACCTTGTGCATGCATACACACACACACACACACACACACACACACACACACACACACACACACACACACACACACGAGTAAGGCTTAGCTGTGGCTCCTTATAGAGTATTTACCTAGCTCTGTTCTTGACCACAACTCTATTATTGTTTGTTGTTGTTGCTATTATTAGTCGTATCATTTTTCTTGAGAGGCTGGGAGACTAGGGCTATGTCCTCATACCCAATGCAAGGGGCTGTACTGGTGGAGGCTCCAGAGCAGGGCTACATGCCTGGGAGCATCCATCCCAAGATGAGGGGTGTTGGTTTCTCAAGGTTCTGTAGCCTGGTGTTGTCTGGGGTGTGGTCAGACATTTTTTGGTCCCAGCCCAGCAACTCTTCAAGGATCAACAAGTGTTCGGTTGTCTACTTCTGTCCTAAGTACCTGGCCCAAGATCTGTCTGTCAAGGAAGGGAGTTCTCCTGTCACTGGTATGTAACAACCTGTGCTGGTAGATTTCCAGGGACAGAGGCTTGTGATGCCCAAGACCTTGGCCTCATTGGTGAGGTCAAGCCCCAGCACTCACACATTGCTCTCACAAAGTTCCTGGATGGTGTGACAGTTTGTGGGACCCCTTCCTAAAGCAGAGGGGCCAAGAGTCACATGCTGGGTTAGTCTCTGGTTTCTCTGGGTCTCTGTTTTCTCATCATTAGAAGGGTAGTGACCCCACCCTTCCCAAGTCACCCAACTCAGATGGAGGTACCCTGTGGAGAGGAAGTGCTCTCCACCCACACAATGACTGCATTGCATCAGGCCATTTCCAATGGCAGCTGTCTGTCTCTGGCTAGAAATGGGGTACACTGGGCTGGAAGTCACTCTACTCCCTGCCCTCAAACCATCTGCTCATGGGTCAAGTTGTCCCTGAGGTCTGGGTCAGTTCTCAGGGCAGTGCTGATCCTCCCTCCAGGTTCTGTCACTCTAGGATCCTGCTGTCACATACCCTGGGAGTATATGAGAGTCTATATCTCATCCCCACTTTGCCAGTAATCGCCACGAGAGCAGATGTGCACTGCTTGGAGAGCTTAGTTTTTGTGTCCTTGGTGACACCTAGAGGTGCAGACAGACAAGCAGACCGCTGGGTGGTGGGTTGTAGCTAACGGACACATCTGTCTTGGCTTGCGTAGATGGGCTTCTGGCCAGTGGGCCAGGGTGCTGTTTGCTGAGGCGGTGCCGGCTCCTGGAAGGCCAGTGCTGTGGTCTCTGTGCATGTATGTTTCCTTCTTCCTTATCACTAATCAGGCTTGTATAACTGGGGTGGCCCTGCTTCCTGCCCAGGAGCTATCAGCCAGCCATCTGTAGATGTAAATGGGTGACAGGGCCTCAGTAGTCACAGTCAGGCACTTCCTGAGACGTAGATTCTGGTCCCCATCCACTCCTGGCTCGATAGGGATCCCAGGGCTTGCTTTTCTCAGGGGCTTCCCTTTGTGGGACATCTGAGGACAGTGCATTGACATACAGTCTGGGAAGAGCTGTCTGTTGTGTAGACATCTGCTGCTCTCTTCCCCTGTGTCCCCCGGGCAGAGCTCTGTTACTCTATGTCAGGACTAACAGGTAAGAGAATCCACAGAGGCTTTTCCTGTGGCCCTCTATGTCACTCTGCTTCTGTGCTGTGAATGAACAGCCTTTGGCTGGACAGTTGCCAGAACCTAGGTAGCGCTGAGCATGGTGGTGCACACGCCCTTAATCCCAGCATCCCAGTACTCCAGGCAGAGGCTGGAGGATCTCTGAGTTCAAGGCCAGTCTGGTCTACAGCGTGAGTTCCAGGACAGCCAGGGCTACACAGAGAAACCCATCTCAAAATAAACACGCGAACAAACAAGAACCAAGGCAGAAAGTGCAGATGTTGCAGAGCCTGGGGTACCGCACCGAGAGGGATGGCAGGTGAATGTGCATATGCTGTTGTCAGAGTCTAGGATCAGGGGATCTGAGTCTGAGGGGACAGCTCAGTGCTGAAGGCACCAGTCTTTGGCTTTTCTAAGCTTCAGTTAATCACTGAAGCTGGACAGCTGTGCCCAGTCCTGTCCACAGGACTCGGTAAGGACACCTGCTGTGCAGAGTGCTGTGGGAAGCAGGCCTCCCATGGGGTACCTAGCAAGGGGACACCTCCCACAGGGGACACCTCCACAGGGGACACCTCCACAGGGGACACCTCCACAGGGGACACCTCCACAGGGGACACCTCCACAGGGGACACCTTCACAGGGGACACCTCCACAGGAGACACCTCCCACAGGGGACACCTCCCACAGGGGTGCCTAGCACAGACTCTACAGTTTAGTCTTTTGCAGGTTGGACCTTGGAGAGGATGGCAGTGAAACAGGTCCTGGGCCCCTGGTTCCTGATCTACACCTGTGTCTGCTCTTGCATCTGCTGGGGAGTCCCTGTCCCAGAGCAGCGAGCAGGTGGGTGCCGCATCTTCCTGGGGTGGCTGGATAGAGAGTCAGGGGAGTTGGGGACAAGTTGTCATCTGTGACAACCCAGGGAAAAACATGGGCCCCAAACACTGCTGGAACCTGCCCTCTGATGTCCCTCCACCTCCCACCCCACGAAGCTCTGAGGTCTGACTGGCCCAGGTACAGTGGTCAAAACCCAGCCTCTCATCTTGCCCCTGACACATTCCCTTGGGGCTTTCTTTGGGGTCTGTCTGGTCAGATCCTCCCCACCGACCTCATCTCTGCCTTGAGGCCCTACTGTGTGCTCCCACCATCCCCAGGGTCGAAGGCTGGGACATTCACCTGCCTCAGCAACAGTCTTTTCAGGATTGACTGCCACTGGTCAGCTCCTGAGCTGGGCCTGGAATCCAGTGCCTGGCTTCTCTTTACCAGGTGAGGATGGAGGTCTAGGCCTGCTCGGGGAGGGTACAGGGTCCCCGTAGTGGCAGCATCCATGATGCGAACACATGGCCTTTCCAGTAACCAGGTGGCTGACGTCAGGCACAGGTGTACCTTCGAGGACAGCGTGTGTACCCTCATGCTGCCCCCCGAGGAGGTGTTGGTGCAGACCGACAACTTCACCATCACTTTACACCGCTGTGTCATGGGGCAGGAGCAGGTCAGCTTGGTGGACTCGCAGTTCCTGCCATGGAGACATGGTGAGTGGGACAGCCCTGCCAGGAGTGGCCTTGTAGCTCGACTCTGAGGTTGTGGTCTTGAGCTTTTGACTCTACCTGAGAATCCTTGCCAACCAGGACCTGGGAAGGGGGCGTAATGGCTGCTGCAGAGCCGGGGTGAAGGAGCCTTGACCATGACCTCTTAGGAATGTCCTTGGTCCTGGTTCTGGCCATGCTGAGGGACACAATGGCAGCTTCAGCCTCACTGGGCCCCTCTTGGTTTCAGTTAAGCTGGATCCCCCCTCGGATTTGCAGAGCAATGTGAGCTCTGGGCGCTGTGTCCTGACCTGGAGTATCCATTTTGCCCTGGAGCCCTGGAGTTCACTCCTTAGCTATGAGCTGGCCTTCAAGAAGCAGGAAGAGGCCTGGGAGGTAACATGGCGGCAGCTCTCTGAGGTCTCCTGGGATTGACTAGTGTCAGTGGTGAGAACAGGGGGAGGCAGAGTTAGATGTGCATGTATGTGCTGGCTACATACAAACCTATGCTCTTGTGTGTCTATGAACATAGTGTATGAGTGTGCCTACTTGTACATGTGTGTCTATATGTGTGTGAGTGTGTCTTTGCTTTGTGCTTGTATGGGTGAATGCATGCTGAAGAGAGTGTGTAGATGGGGTGAGTGTGTACATGCACCCATAGGTGTGCATAAATATGTGTGAGTGGCCTTGTTGGTCCGTGCGTGCCCATTTTTTAGGACCCTGCACTCAGTCAAATGCCCCCAATCCTGCAGCAGGCCCGGCACAAGGACCGTATAGTTGGGGTGACCTGGCTCAGCCTTGAAGCTGTTGAACTGAACCCTGGTTCCGTCTACGAGGCTAGACTGCGTGTCCAGATGACTTTGTCAGAGGAGGAGGATGACATGGCAGAGGGGGAGTTTTATAAGAGCCATTGGAGTGAGTGGAGCCGGCCCGTGTCCTTTCCTTCTCCCCGGAGATGGAGACAGGGTAGGTGCTTGTGGTGGCTGCTTTGTCGCACCTGGGTGAGTCTTCTTCCTTGGTTCCTCCTGTCCCTCCTCCATTTCATCAGCCTACAGCCCTCCCTTTGTTTCTGAGATGAGTGAGGAGTTCGTAGCTAGTGGCCACCATTAGCAAGGGTGTCCAGGACTGCACACCGGCTGAGGCTTTTGTCTGGGCTGGACAAACCTGGTGTCCTTTGTGAGAGTTGGGCTGAGCCTATGCACAGTGATGACCACTGGCCTTATGGTAGATGGGAAAGAAGGGGTACAGAGGAGATCACCCCAGGAACGTCAGAGGTATGACATAAACCCAAGACCCACCCTAAACTCTCCGCTTTGGCTCAGAGAACTAAAGGTAGCTTTTTTTCCCTCCCATGCGGCCTGAGGGGGGCATCCTGGCACTGATGTCTATTCACAGCCACGAATGAACTCTTTCTGCCCACAGACCTCTTGCTGCCATCCTGGCAGTGGTCGGACAGCGTCCTTGTTGCTGTGTCCATCTTTCTCCTGCTGACCGGCCTTATTCACCTTCTGTTCAAGCTGTCACCCAGGTAGATACCCGTGTGGTTGTGACTGTGTATGCATGAACGAATTTGGACACGCATGTGGCTGGGGTACACATGCATTAGTGCATGTCTGTGTGAAACTGGGGAACCACAGCTGCCTGTTTATGGCACAGATGTGATCTCTGGAGCTTTTAGCCTCATCTGAGAGAGGAGGAAACAGTAGGCATGTGTTGTTGTGCCTGGTAGTCCTCTGAGGACAGGTTTGGATGCAGTGGGCTAGCATCTGGTAGGTAGAAGGGAGCTCAACTCTTGGCAGTGGCTTAAGCTTTCTGGCGTGTGGCTTTTCTATTTTGGCTTCAGGGTGAAGAGACTTGTCTACCAGAATGTCCCCTCCCCAGAAGCATTCTTCCATCCTCTCTACAGTGTGTACAATGGGGACTTCCAGGTGTGTGCAGGGGAACTTCGGGGAGGTGGGGTCATGTTTGGCACTACAACAGGCAGAAAAGGCTTAGAAGTTTGGGCTTACACTGGGGGGCGGGCATGAGCAAGTGTGGGGGCCTTGGCTGTGCTCTGAGCCTCTTTGTTTTATAGCAGGCTTACATTTGTACCCCATCTGTAATGGGCACATATTTTGCTGTATTTGGGTCAACTCGCCACAGCACAGCATGGTGGACTGTGAGACACAGGGGCCTTTTGTAGAGGTCCCGCTGAGAGACAGCACCCTTTGGGAGGCCCGACCCTCCTGTTGCTATGCAGAGGCCCCAGACTGTGTCACTGCTTTTAGGGGGTCCCATCTGTCTCTGCTGAATGGCCCTGGAGAGCATTCTGTCATGGTTTTGTTTAGTCTTTGCCACCTGTCCCATCTTTCCTTTTCTCTTTGGCACCTGGTTCATGCTGCTAGGAACCTGTGGCCTCCAGCTGAGGGGTTACTGAGGGGCCTGAGGAGACTCAGGGCTTCATACGTGGGCGGGAGGTAGAATGCTTTGGGCATGGGTGCTGCTTGACTCTGGGATTGCATGGTAGAGCTTCCTGGAGGAGGAGATCTGGGCTGTGCGGGGTGGGGTGGGGGCGGGAGGGGGGGTGTTCTATTCCCAGAGTGAGTCCTGAACATGCTGTCTGAGCCTTTCTCCTGCCCCCTGCTCTGATTCAGACCTGGACAGGGGCCCACAGAGCCAGACCACAACCAAGACAGAATGGTGTCAGCACTCCATCAGGAGGCTCAGAGTCCAGCATCTGGGAGGCCATCACGACTCTCACCTACAGCCCAGCATGCCCTGTGCAATTTTCCAGCCTGAAATGGGAAGGCACAGGTCCTGGCTTCCCAGGGCCTTCAAGCTTAGAGTATGTGCTGCCAGCAGGGTGTGCAGAGTTGGAAGGACAGCCATCTGCCTACCTACCCCAGGAGGGCTGGGCCCCTCTGGGCTCTGTTAGGCCCCCTCCTCTAGACTCAGACAGAGACAGCAGCGACTATTGCATCTTGGACTGCTGTGAGGAGCGCCACCCCTTAGCACTCCCAGGACACACCCAGAGCCCTGAGCTCCCACAGGCTCAGCCTGTGACCCTTGCTATATCCATCAGGGCCTGACATCTACCAAGGGATGTGGGCGTTTTCCTCCCTCCGACCACGCTCAGTCTCGGCCTGTCTCAGCCGGGGGCACCATGTCTATTTTGGGGAGGTGAACGGAACTAAAGGCCTTGGGACTGGCCCTTGGGTGGGTGTGGAACTCCAGAGAGGAGGCAGCTGTGCACCGGTCAGAGGCCCTGTGGTTGGGAGCAGCAGGCTCTCAGTCACTGCTCTGCTCTGCCCCGCGGTGGGGAGGCCTCCACACTCAGCATCTCGGCCTCAGGCTGCCTTCTCTCCTCTTTCTGCCTTTGCTGTGGTCCTGAAAAGAGGGTGTGACAGGCAGCCTGGTCTGCTCTCACACCCTTAAAGGGTTAGCCTGGGTCAAGGGGATGCTGCGGAGATGACAAGAGCAGGTGAACTGTCCTTTCTCTGTCCCTTCCCACTAGGACTGGAGATAATGTTTCTGACTGTTCCAGACCATGGATGGCTGGGGCTGGGGAGAAGGGTGGAGCTTTGAGCAAGTGGGGTTATCCATCCCCGAAATCAACAGGATGGAGTCTCACTGAATGATTCAAAGAAATCTTACCCACCTGTATTAATTCCTTTTCTCGTTACTGTGATAAACACCGTGACCAAAAGTGACTTATAGAAGAAAGAGTTTATGTTGGTTTAAGGTTCCAGAGGGAAGGAATACAGCTTGGCAGCAGAAGCTCGGCAGCAAGTGGCAGGCATGGCAGCGGGAGCAGGAAGAGCTCACATCTTAACCAAAAGCATGGAGCGGAGTGAACTGGAAGTGATGCGTTATTCCCCAAGCGAGGCTCCACCTCCTAAAGATTCCACAACCTCCCTAAACACCGCCACCAGCCGGGGACCGAGTGAGTGTTCAAGGATCCGAGCCTATGAGGGACGTTCTCATGCAAACCACCTCACCACCTCCCGTCCCGAACCTTCCACGGAGAAAGACTGAGGCGAGGGCCACTGTAGACTATTCCCCAGCAGCTGTGGCCTGTGGGGGCACCCATACCTCTACCACCTGTGGGGTGGTCCAGAGGGCATGATGGTAGCTAGAATATGACTGTTATTTTCCTAGGCCTGCCCTAACAGAGAACCAGGAACTGGGTGGCTAACACTGGAGATTTGTTTTCTCTCTGACTGAAGTTCAGGGCTCTGGAATGGAGATGCCAAGAAGGTCACGCTCCCCCAGAGGGAAGGGCTTGTTTCAAGTTTTGCTTCACATCTATTTCCTTTTGAGCCACCTCTTCCATACTGAGACTAGATGCTACCCCAGTGGCAGGGCAGAGCCTGCCTCAGACTCTGTGTGTGAACAGAGATTTGTGATCCGGTGGGCAGAAACTTAGGCTGAGCGGGTCGATGCATTTGTACAGATTTGGGGCCTTAAAGCACTGACCCGACAGGAGTCCTCCTGAGACCTTGCTGTTTTTCAAAGGGCAAGCGTGGAAACAATGGTAGTGTGAAGATGATTTCTGAGGATGTAACAACGTGGAAGAGATGGTCAAACTATTGCATGGTAGGCTCGGTGAGTGGGCGGGAATGGTGCAGTGTGAGGGGTCAGAGCTGGTGTTCTGGGAGGGCTCACAATGCTGACCCCAGGGCAAGTGATGGCTGACAGGGTCATCCATGGCATGATGGCCTAGTTAGAACTGAGAGAGTTGGAGTCTTCCTCCAGTCCAGGTAGAGGAGATTTAATATTTTATCTTTTTAATTTTATTTTTAAATTTATCTTTCATTTCAATAATTACCCTTTTTGTATAGACACAGCATATACACCTACATAAATATTATTCTGGCCACTACCATTCTCTCTCTCTCTCTCTCTCTCTCTCTCTCTCTCTCTCTCTCTCTCTCTCTCTCTCTCTCTCTCTCTCTCTCTTTCTGAGACAGGGTTTTTCTGTGTAACATCCCTGGCTGTTCTGGAGCTAGCTTTGTAGACCAGGCTGACCTCGAACTCACAGAGGTCCGCCTGCCTCTGCCTCCTGAGTGCTGGGATTAAAGCTGTGCACAACCCCTGCCCAGCATCCCGTTCTCTTCTTTTGTTTTGTTTTGTTTTTTGGTTTTTTCGAGACAGGGTTTCTCTGTGGCTTTGGAGGCTGTCCTGGAACTCACTTTGTAGACCAGGCTGGCCTCGAACTCACAGAGATCCGCCTGCCTCAAAAAACAAAACAAAAACAAAAAACAAAACGAAAATAACAAAAAAGTAAGTGTAGTGAGAGATTCACCCAGCCTCACCTGTGGTGCTGACCACACCCATTTGGGTGTGGTCACAGGTGCATACTTAAGCATGTGGTATTTGGTCTGAGAGCAGCCTGTGTGGATCCTTGGAGCTGGAACTTGTGAGTCATCAGTTTCTTATGTAAGTGACTTCTCCCCTAATAATATTAACCTATATTTAACCAAGTCCCATGTATCTTAATCTATATATCTATAATGTAATTGGTGAAAATAATTATTCCAATTGTTTCAAAGTATAGAAACTAACCCTGGCGATGGTTACTAGATAACCGTCACACCATTAATCTGGATGTGTGGCTAATATCTGTTACTTAGAAGTTTGAAGAAGGATGGAAAAGCTTAATGTCTGTGGCAAAATACAAAAGTAGTAGCTCATTAGAAAGATTCGTTTTGCCAGGTATAGTGGCGTCCACTTTTAATCCCAGCACTTGGGAGGCAGAGGCAGGTGGATCTCTGTGAGTTCGAGGCCAGCCTGGTCTACAGAGTGAGTTCCAGGCCAGCCAGGGATACACAGAGAAACCCTGTCTTTAAAAACCAAAAACCAACCAAACAAGCAAATAAACAAACAAAATCCCTAAAAGCCCCACCCCGCCCCCCAAAACCCAACACCCCCCAATAAAAGAAAAACAAAAAACAATGACAAAACCAACAACCAAACAAAAAACCCCAAAGGGTTAGGTTATGAAAATGTGCATAACCTAAATAAAGCACACTAGAACTCACTGTCTGGGCTCTGTCTTGTAGAGATGATGAATTCCCAGGAGTGAATCTTGTTTGATTATAAAGATCTATGAGTGTTGTCTCTAGCGTCCAAGAGCAAGGATATGGAGAAACCTCAGATATATAGTACAGTTAGATCATTTTAGAGTCAGTGTCTGCGATTGTCTGATGTCTATGATAATGAATTTCTACACCAACTCATGGCATCTAGAAAAGTTTAAGCACTGCGGGTTTTCTGGGCTGGAGATGTGGCTTATGTAGCATGTGAGACCCTCCTTAGTACTGTAATAAAGTGTTCCTGTATTCCTGTATGTGTGATTTTCATCTCCAGTAGCAGTTATCTTTTTTTTTTAAAGAGATCTGAAGTGATTTTGCTTTTATTTCCTTCATGTTAAACCAATCCTTCATGTTAAGCCAATCATGAAATTTCACAGTTATTTCTGGTGTGGGGCAGAAGGAAAGTGTATTCAGAATGATGGAGGCCACAGCCTGGTTAGCCCGAGAAGGTACAAGCAGGGGAGGCCTCACTGGGGAAGCTGGAGGAGCACCGACTGCTCGCTGGCAGGTAGATGGTGTTCCCAGAGCACAAGAGCTGGTAAGCAATGTCCTCCGCAGCCTCCAGCTTACGTGGCTCAGTCAGGCCATCACCTGCGGTGGCCAGGGAGTTGGCGATCAGCTCCGGCTGCCCTGGAGTCAGTCTCCGCAGGGATGATGGCTGCCTTCCGCTGCTGCTCAGCCTTTCCCATCACAGATCTGGCCCTCTCTGCTTCCTGCTGGGCCACCTGTTGGCTTCCAACGCTTCTGTGAACTCCTTCCCGAAGGTCAGATGTGTCAGGGACAGTCATCCAGGATGAGCCCAAATGTTGCTGCTCTCTCTGTGAGGTCATCGCTCACCTGCCTGGAGGCTCTCTCTGTGAGGTCATCGCTCACCTGCCTGGAGACTCTCTCTGAGTGGTCAGTTCTCCAGCATCAAAGCGAGCCACTACCGACTTGAGGGTCTCTGTGGTGATGGATGGCAGCACCCACTCATCATGGGCTTCGCCGATGCTGGTGCAGATACCAGGAAGCTGGCTGGCCTCCAGCCGGAAGAGAATACCTAGTGTGATGTTGACGTTCTGCAAAATCTTTGCTACCAGTGATGACTAGTTCCTTCCGTAGTCGTGAGTCAAAGATAATAGGTTTCTCTGTACCCAAGGGATGAAAAGCGAGTCCTTCCCCCTACCACAATGTCCTGTACTCCAAGGAATCGGTCAAAAATGATGGCAATTATCTTAGGGTCTGAAGTGTGAACAAAGGCTTTCTATACTCCTTACATCCTTATTATTTTGTGTTATACATATATATTTTGCTTTTCTTTCATGTGTACATTTGAAACAAAAGTCTTTTTCTTTTTTTCATTAAAAAATGTTATGTGTATGGGTGTTTTGCCTACATGTATGTCTGTGAACCATGTATGTGCAGTGCCCTCAGATGCCAGAAGAGGGCATCAGGGCTCCCAATGTGAGGCACTATGCCGGTGCTTGGAATCCAATCCTGGTCCTCTGGAAGAGCAGCGGGTATCTCTAAACCCACAATAGGCCTTTGCAGTCAGTATATCAATACGAATTCTTTCCAAAATGAATGCCAATGTCAAAAGGTTTACACTTCTTTTAAAGGTGTTGCCATAGTCCTTACATCTGTAGGGTCCTCTCCAGTATACATCCTGTGATGTTCTTTAAAACTTGAACACTGGTTAAGCTTTTGCCACATTCCTGACATCTGGAGGGTTTCCTCCAGTGTGAACGCTGATGTTTTCTGAGGATTGAACACTAGCTAAAGAATTTTCATTTCTCTCTCTTTCCTCTCTCTCTCTCTCTCTCTCTCTCTCTCTCTCTCTCTCTCTCTCTCTCTCTCTCTCTCTCTCTCTCTCTCTCAAAAGGTTTTCCTATGTACCCCTGGCTGTCCTGGAACTCACTCTGTAGACCAGGCTGGTCTCGAACTCACAGAGATCCACCTGCCTCTGCTTCCTGAGTACTGAGGTTAAAGGCATGCCCACTGCCACCTGGCTGGGTTTTCCCATTCTTTACATCTTCTGTAGGGTCTCTCTCCTGTGTGGACTCTTTGGTGTTTAATAAAGCATGAACAATATTAAAAACCTTTGCCGCAGGCTGAAGAGATGACTCAGTGGAAGAGCACTTGCTGCTCTTCCAGAGAATGTGAGTTCAATTCCCAGCATATGCTTCAGGTAGCTCACAGCTGTCTATAACCCAAGCTCCAAGGACACCTGCCTCCCTCTTCTGGCCTCAGCCATCATCCAGATATATGTGGTGTGTGCTCAAAACACACACATATACATGCACACTCCACAGTAAACTAAAAAATTGAAATTAAAAAAATGTCAAATTCTTCACATTTGTAGGGTTCCTTGCTAGGTGAGTTAGGCTTGAACTACGGTTAAATGTTTCCACTTTCTTCACACCTGTGGGGTATCTCCGCACTGTGGATCTTGTGACGTCGTTTATGATGTTGTGCGTGTGGGCAAGTGCTTGGCACGTTCTTTACATACACAGGGTTTCTCTCCCATGTGAACTCTGTCGTCTAGGGATTGTAAAAGGGTTATCTCAGCCCTTGCATCTGTATGGCTTCTCTCCATATGAATTCCCTGATATTGAGGAAGGGTTGAGCCATGGCTAGGGGCTTTGCCACATTCTTTACCTCTGCAGGGTTTCTCTGTTGTGTGAACTCTCTGCTGTCTTGTAAGGGCTGAACAACAGTCAAAGACTTGGTCACACACCTTGTATTTGTTCAGTTTCGGTCCAGCATGGACTCTGTTTAATAAGGTTTGAGGTTTGAGGCAAAAGCCATGTCACAATCTACCCTCTGGAAGACTGCCCTGAGTGTGAGTACATTGAAGAACAGTAAGTTTTGAGGGTTGATGAAAGATTATTTTTTCTGTAGAGGTTCTTTGAAAAATTAGTGTACTGATCTTTAGTGGTCAAAGTTGTTATAGATTTTGTTACATTGATAAGTATCCTTTGCAATATAAATATTCTTGCAAATTATTTAGGTTAGATCCATTAATAATAAAAGCTTCCCTATTTTCTTTGCACGTGTATTGGGTTTTCTAGGTATCCATATCTCGGAAAATCCACATCATTATTGTTTGTTTTTATGTGTGTGGTGTTCTGCCTGTGTCTGTAGGCCATGACTGTGTAGTGCCTCAGGAGGCCAGAGGAGGGCGCCAGGTCCCCCTGGAACTGGAGTTACAGAGAGCTGTGAATCACTATGTGGGTGCCGGGAATCAAACCCCGGTCCTCTGCAAGAGCAGCGAGTGCTCTTAACTTCTGAGCCATCTCTCTAACCCCCTACAACTGAGTTTTGGTGAACTGATAATGGGTTTGTAGCAAATGTCCCACATTTATTACCGTTGTTATCTGGGCACGGCAAAGACCCAGTGTGTCGGCTGTAGGCTGAGAACTCTCCCTTACAGAACTGATGGATCACATCTAGAGATTTGCTCTTATCTAAATCTTTTGCCTACAGAAATGCTTGAGTGGAAGGTGATCCCAGTGACACATTGTTCAAATCATTAGCTAAAGGGACGGGGATCCCCAAATACCCCAAATTCCATTTTAGAGGAAGAGCATGTTGCAAAAGCTGCTGTGGCGATTCCCTTCTCCAAACATGGCCCATCGAGGCCCACCTGGCCAGCTGCGAGCTTTGCCTCACATATCTTCTATTCTTGGTCTCTGCTTTCGCTCTTGCTAGCAGCAGGAGATTGTTATCTCCACCTCGAAGGTTATGTCATGCTCACCCTTCAGTGTCATCTGTCAAGGCCACTGTTGCAGGTCTTTCCCCTGGTCACCTCAGGAAGGGATGTCCTGCGCTCTGTTCTTGTGAAAAGC